ATTATTCAATAGAAATGTTTTAATTTGTTTTAGGAAAAATCTTTCTCGAATTTTGCTATGGCTCCCCTCAGGACCCGGCTACGTCACTGCATTGTTTTCAAGAATGCAAGAGCCTAATTTTTATACTATTTTAATATTTAGTCTTTTTTGACCATGACCAGTCAGTGAAGGTTACTTTTTTCTTGAGCTGAGACAGATTTAAAAAGAGCAATCTGTCATTGTTATTTATAGTGCAAAATGCATCTGTATTTTTGATGTGCTGGATAATGCGGTCTCATCATTTGTTGTCACCGAGAAAAATAGCTGCTTCTTTTTACAGTATATTATTCAATCAATTATCCTTAAACTGACGAAACGAATCAAGAAAAACACGGATGATGTAATTTAGAAGATTTGTGGTTCGATTATTATGCTTCCTGTTTATTAACAGGTTACAGAAACCAAATATAAGAATTTGGATGAACAAATGCTTGTAGTGCATTGTTCAATAAGCTTACAATGTTGAATAATAACTGGTGCTATACTATAGAATTGGAAATAGTATTTCTTCGTCTCGGCTCAGTACCAATTACGATATTTTGAATTTGGACATTGTTACCTGGATCATCGTTTATCTCGACTTTTTTCTGTACAGGTTTAGGAACCTTTATTTTTCAGCGTAGTAAATAACGTGTTTACACTAAGGTCATTGATATTCAATGAAAACAGAAATGAAACGCTCGCGTATATATTTTAGGATGAAGAATTTTTTCTCAGACTATACTCAGTTTTGTGTTTAGAGAAAAGTGGTTTCCTGGAGAATTCTATGATAAAAGGTTTATACGAAGATAGGTCCGATATTACTTTTATTGAAATACCACTTTCTCGAAAAACAAAACCGCGTTAACGTATCAAAGAAACGCCAATGAAGACAAAATTAATAGATTTAAATCTGGTGAATTTATAGTTATAGTTTTTGTTGTTGAATCTTATAAGAATTCTCTGTACCAAATTTTAACAGGAGTTTTATCAAAATCCGCTGAAGGATTATTACGGTTTTTATGGAAAAACGAATTTCCGGAAAACATTTGAAACTCTATATCTCGAAAATAAAGCACTAACAGACTTGTTTATATAGGGTGATTCAGAAAAAAGTTCGTATGGACCTAAAATGTTTCATTACTGATATACAGTCTGTTGTTAACTTTTAACTCTATTGATAAGACTGAATAAGGACAAACATAAACTTTGTCCAAATAATGCTATGGTGATTTACCAACTTCTGCATATTTTCAAAATAGAACGTTAAGTTTTTTATATGGATTTTACCCCAAATAACCAAATCAATCTTTCTTCTAAAGGAGTAGTCAGACAAGAGTTTGTTCACATAATCCATTCATGTAAAATTGAATACTTCAAGCAAAAAATGCAATGACTGTTTCAAGAAGTCAGTGACGTAGGGACTAATCTCCTATTTCCTTCCCTAAGGGGCAATTTTCAAAATTTCCATACCACTGGTGTTGTGTCAGGCAGTAAAATGTTTGCATGTATTGGCTATGATGTCAGTACTACGTGTACATATCCAGAACTTGATAGGCGGTAATAATAATAATCTTCTTTATTCATAATGACATTATAATAGTATTATTAGTATAACACTGAACAAAATTTTTTGAAGCTATTTAAATTTGAGATTAAATCCTCAAGCACATGCACACAACAAATACACTTATTTATGCAGGAAGTGATATTTAAAGGTATTTAAAGACAATGCTTTTGGGTTTTCCGGAATAGATTTGTATAGGGTATCTGAGTTCCGTCTTAAAAATCTGTCGAAAGCAGTCTTGTGATATGGCATTGTGAATAATGTTCTGATAACTCTATTGACTAAAATTATAGCGAGGTACAAGTGTATTTTTCCAATATAATAGGTTTATATTAATTTCAATATTATGTACATGAATTGAGTAAGTAGTACCGTAAAAGCCCAGCAACGATCAATGATCGTTGAAGTATGGTTCTATGTTTTCAAATTATTTATTTGAAAGCACAAAAGCTTTTTGGGTCTAGCTGCTTTTGAAAATCATTAGGGGGTTTTGCTTCTAAATTTACAGGCGCGTACAAGGTTTACATTGAGGCAGCCTCAGCTTAATAGTAAAAAATAGAATGCATATGTGTTGCTTCTTTGCTTATTTATGAGAAATTGATAGGCGGTAAAATTTTAATTAATAATAATAATCTTCTTTATTCATAATGACTACATTATAAAAGTATTATTAGTATAACACTAAAGAAAAATTTTTGAAGCTATTTGAATTTGAGATTAAGTCCTCAAGCACATGCACACAACAAATACACTTATTTATGCAGGAAGTGATCTTTCAAATGATATTTAAAGATATTCAAAGACAATGCTTTTGGGTTTTCCGGAATAGATTTGTATAGGGTATCTGAGTTCCGTCTTAAAGATCTGTCAAAAGCAGTCTTGTGATATGGCATTGTGAATAAATGCTCTGATAACTCTATTGACTAAAATTATAGCGAGGTACAAGTGTATTTTTCAAATATAATAGGTTTTTATTAATTTCAATATTGTGTACATTAAGTGAGTAACTAGTACCGAAAAGCCCAGCAACGATCAATGATCGTTGAAGTATGGTTCTATGTTTTCATATTATTTATTTGAAAGAACAAAAGATTTTTGGATGTAGCTGATTTTGTAAAATCATTAGGGGGTTTTGCTTCTAAATTTACAGGCGCGTACAAGGTTTACGTTCAGGTAGCCTTAGCTTAATAGTAAAAAATAGAATGCATATGTGTTGCTTCTTTGCTTCTTTATGATTCGTCATAATTCTCTGAGAACAATAAACGAAATCAGCTTCCTAAACGTCACTTATCCCAAATAGCTTTTCCACTTTTCTCCACGATCGATCCATCTTCTTCTATCACCTTTTGGAATGTTGAGACTATATCTTGGTAATATACTAAGTGACATATAAATCCGAACACCCAGTTTGAATGATTTTATTTTAATAAAATTTTGTATAAGTACTTAATGAAGCATAATAAGTAAATGATAAAAAGTTCAAAATGATTGCACGGTTTTAAAGCCCTTTGACCTTTAATAATGTGTGGATGCACCCTGATGTGCTACGCATTCTCCAACGCGCCTAGGCATGCTTCTGATCAGGTGGTCAATATCCTCCTGTGGTATCTCATTCCAGGCAACCACCAACTCCTCTCGAAGTGCTTCTAGAGTCTGAGGAGGACGTTGCAAATTGAGCAATCTCCTACCCATCATATCCCACACGTGCTCAATTGGGGATAAGTCGGGAGATCTTGGTGGCCATGGTAACAATGTGACATCATTATGTTGAAAGAAGTCTATTGTGACTCTTGCAACATGTGGTCGGGCATTATCTTGTTGGAAAGTTGGATCTGCCAGGGTGTCAAGATAGGGTAAAAGATGGGGTTCTAGAACTTCGTGGATATAACGCTGCGCGTTCATGTTACCTCTGATGAAGATTAAAGGTGACCTGGAACCATAAGCTATAGCACCCCAAACCATAACTCCAACAGTGTGATGAACATGTCTTTCAACAAAAAACTGTGGATTCCTCCTTTCACCACGTCGCCTTCTAACCCTGGCACGACCATCGTGCATGCCTAAAAAAAATCGAGACTCGTCACTAAAGACAATACTGTTCCATTCCTGATCCCAGAGTGACCGTTGTCTGCACCACTCAAGGCGATTACGTCGGTGTTCTCGAGTTAAAGGGAGGACCCAATGTGGCCGGTATGAAAACAAGCCAAAACTTCTCATTCGTCGGTAAACACTTCGCATGCCAATAGGTCTTCCGTGTTCTGCAAACCATTCATTTGCAATGGACCTGGTAGTGGAGAAACGGTCCCTTAATGCCAATAATCTTAGGCGGCGATCTTCATGGTCTGTTGTTCTACGGCGGCGTCCAGTGCCCCTTGCTCTTTGCGTACGGCCTTCTCGAAGCCATGCCTGACAACACCTAACCACAGTGTCTACACTTCTTTGCACTCTAACTGCAATTGCCCGAAAAGAAAGTCCAGCTTCCCGAAGTCCCACTATACGCTCGTACAGGTCTCCGTACTCTAGGCATCGTAACCGATCGTAAAGGATGTCAAGAACCAAAATCCGCCAACGTTGATTCTTTACTGTGGCTGAAATATTCATTTTTAGAGCGTTAGTGAATTAAAAAAAACAGTATAAAAACCGCAATGTCCAACTGATAAGGCTGAAAATTTTTTCACTTGTTATTTACAGTAAGATAAATACATTCACTAACTTTTATTAAAATAAAACCATTTAAACTGGGTGTTCGGATTTATATGTCACTTAGTATATATAGAAATGTTTTGCCAGCCAGCTGCACAATGTTTGAACAGCGGTTTATTCACATTTTTTACCTTTTTTACAATTACATCTACGTTGTTTACAACATCATAAGTTCAGACAGTATTGAGAGGGTAACACCAAACTGCACTCCAATAAAGACATCCCTGACTGGATTTAAGAGTTTTTGGACTTATTCATGGATTTTGAAACCAACCCGACGAATAAGAAACCGTTTTTATTGTGATCTAGCCGGTTTTGAAACGTATTTTAGGTTCTAAAACGTTATTTATTTTAAAAATCAAGGAGGTCATGAAGGCGTCTTGCAATTATAGGAACGTTAGACGATACACCCCTTGGACTTTCTGCGATCAGATGGCACCGCTAGCTCAATATGGGTGAAAATGGGCACTTTGAAACAAGACAACTCAAATATTGTAATGTTTTACCATGTATAAACGTTCCTTCTCAGAATCGGCCAAGGAGCCATTCCTTCATTGACACCCTGTATCAATGTGTGGGAAGTACCGAGTCATTTATAATTTTCCGCGAAATAAGCGCCACTTTTATCTCATATTCACCATGTTCCGTCTATTTTGATACGCGGCTTCCGATTATCCCAGTGAAAGTCATCTTCGGTTCTCAGATGCAACGATGTTACGGTTCTCTTATTCGTCCGATTATGATGATGGTTCTGGTTCTCGGTTCGTGGTACTCTTGGTGGACTCGGGGAGGAACGGGAACCCTCTCCACTGACGCACTATATATACACACCTCCGACAAAGGGCACGCAACACTGTGCTGTTCACCTCCACCATATACGACCAAATATGAAGCCATACTTGGTAAGTTACTGATTTTGCAAGGACATCTAGTAGGCATACTTGAATAATTAGATTAGCTATCAAATATTGTACAAAATTTTGGCTAGGTTTTCTCATCGATGTTTATGACAAAAGACAGGATATTATCAGAATCACTAGGAATTTTAAATGTCTATTGGATAAGGGCGGTTTTATTGATATTTAGTGGATTTTAGATGGAAGGATGAAAATTTTAGGAATCAGGAAATTTTCTGCATTACACTCTTCGAAGTATAATGAATTTATTTATCAAAACGATCTCATTTTGTCCAGCACGAGTGCTTACAATTATATTATATACAAATATATTGTTGTGAGGGCGAGAAAAAATGAGGTATTATGTTTTTTGGAAGTTACATGTAAAGCCACGTAATTCATTTCGGTTGGTATATCTATCTTTCTGTCGGTCTGTCCGTTAATCCTTAACAATCTATAGCTCGGAAAGTACCGCTCCGATTCCTATGCAAGTTTGACGCAAGGGTCTATACCAAAGACGCAAAAGTTTGAGGTTTTGAAAGTAGATCCAGTAGCAGGGAAATTATAAACAAATAGAGAGCGTTTGTAAAGTTAGGTTTTCGACGTTTCCGAGGGCCTGCACGTTTGAAAAAACATTTGAGTGAAACAATTGGGGATGAGGGAGTTATAATGGGTGGGGAGACATTATCTCACGTTTTGGCTTTAGTATATTTAAGAGGATGCGCTCCCGGCCTAGGTAATTCTGTGCACCTATTAGACATACTGTATACATAGATTTCCTCACGTATTTGCTTCTAAGACTTGAATGATTGAAATATTTTTAATATCTGCATCAAGCACAAATATTCATCGCAACTGTGATAGCAACATTGTCGAATGGTCGGTAGGAAAGATGAGAAGTTTCTAGATTGCGACGCTATTATACATGTTCTAATTTAATTATTCCCAAGATAGAATATCTTGTTACACATTCTTTAATGAACCAATTACAGCGTTGCTTGGGAAGTGCAGAGTCAACCTAGGTAAAGTTTTTCTGAAGAAATGCGATTTTTGTAACGTGCTAGGTTAGTATACCAAACTACCCTGCTGCTGCAGATTTTTTTTTAATGAGTGCCCAAATAAAGCATGCCATCCAATCAAGGTAACTGTAAAAATCACACACATATATTCTCCACATTATATAATCTATTACTTCAAATAAGCATCGTTGGGCTTTAACTATCGAAAACGAACATTTTCCTATAAACGTATCAAGGTCAATATTTTTTTGTTTATACTTTTTCGAAACAATCCATACACGTTTGAAAATTATGATAATTTTGTATATGAATTTGAAATTTGGAAATATATAATATTTATGGGAAATTTTGAATAAGTCTGCTTGACTTCAACTTTATACCGTTTTTTTTCTTCAGATACCATCAATATTACTGGCAATCGCCACATCAGGCTGGTGTGGTGAGGCTAAGAATGGCGATGCTAAATCTAGCAAAACCGAAAAACGAGGACTGTTTGACATCGGCAGCCATCATGGAGGATATGATGGTGGTGGAGGAGGTCATGGAGGATTGATCTCCTTAGGAAGTGGAGGGGGCCATGGAGGCGGCTATGGAGGTGGAGTGTCACTTGGAGGTGGTCATGGGGGCGGATTGAGTCTAGGAGGTGGACATGGAGGCGGATCGTACCTTGGCGGTGGAGGAGGAGGAGGAGGTCATGGTGAAGGAGGAAAAATCTCTCTAGTGCTCCTTGATGGAGGACATGGAGGAGGTGGCGGTGGAGGCGGTAGGTATCAAGGGTGACAGCGTGTTCAAAGAGTCAGCAGTTTGTGATAGGTATACAGGGTGTAAACGTTATGATAGTCATTATTTGAATGGGTGATAGAGGGTGTTAAAAGAAGCAAAAAGATTCATATAACATGGGGTCAAAACGTATTTTTTTTGACAACGCCGCAATGCCAGACGCAAATTACGACGGAACGCAGTGTAAATAAAGATGGAGTTTATTTTTGGCTCTTGGTTATTATTTCATTATTTGATAATGTACTCTTAAAATGCAAACAATTAAAAAAAAAGGACTTACCACTAACTGTCTCAGCGCTTCACCTGGTGTGTGAAAGTTTATTGAACGTATTAAAAAAATCCACTTATAAATAGGGAACACAATTTTGATACATACATTGTTTTTCTTTTTAAAACCCACACTGCACTTCTTTGTATTTAAAGAAGGTGTTCAAAATGTCGTCCTCCACATTCCTCACAAGCTTCATTACGACGAACCCAGTTTCTTCTTACTTTAGGTCCTCGAAGTTGTCCATTTATTATTTCAGCCGCATTAAAAAATTTTTCGCTAGAATGTTTTTAAAAAAATCCGGATTTTCAATGGTTTTGTTCAAAAACCACTGACAGAATGTTAGTCTGCGAGGATAGTCTTCTGGTAATAAGGCCTGCACTCATTGTACATGGTAGGGTTAAAACAACGAATTAATGGCTTACATTTTCACACATTTTTTAATTGCCAAATAATATGGCGGAACTTTACGAGGAATTTAGTCTAAAGTTGTGAAAGCTACAGTACCTATTAACAGTATCAAGATCTACATTTACAAGCGACCTGGACTCGTGGACATTGTTGGCATTCAAGTCACAGTGCGTATCATCCGCAAAAGTTTAGCATGCGTAGCCGTGAGGTTATTATGTAAATCTGCAGTGTAAAGTAAAAACATCAATGGACCCAGCACTTAGCCTTGTGGTACACCTGAATGAATGTATTTTGATGTCAAAATTTGATTTTTGATATTTGAATCCGCCCCCTCAAATATGACCTAATGAAGTTGCAGGCAACTACATCAAAGCCATATTGGTGACACTTGGCAATAAGTCGAACAGTAGTATATACATAATACATGTAGAAACAGAAAAAGGAAATCTCGTTAGAACAGTATAAACTTTCTTGATGTTAGGCCCATGAGCACTTTGAGTAAATTAATTGACACACAAGAATAGGTCTTCTTAAATATGAAATGGGTATCTTTGTTATGATCCCTGAAAAAAATATTCATTTTGAAGCATGTCCTTAGTATAAGACAGATTTTTCTTGCGAAATACACTGATGACTTGAATCATAGGAATCTTAATTCAGGAACACATTTCTTTCTCTCTACATTTCGCCTAGATTGCCGATAGGCAAAATTTCAACTTCGCTCAAACTCCCAAACTTCTCAGTGCATAATTCATTCTTTGCAATCACTTGTGTTAAAAGTCCTACTTGTTTGAATGAGATCTGGCTACTCAATCTTATAAAATGGGGATCTCAGTTCAAAAAATATTAAAATTATTATTAAGCACTTTTTTTAAAAGCATGTCTTCAATCCCCAGGTGGTCATGGAGGCGGATATGGAGGCGGATATGGAGGCGGATATGGAGGTGGATATGGAGGAGGCTTTGGAGGCGGATTAGGAGGCGGATTTGGAGGAGGAGCTGGAGGTGGTGGAGGAGGTGGTGGTGGAGGTGGTGGAGGTGGTGCCACCCTTACCACCATCACCCAAACCGTGCCCGTTCCAGTACCACAACCGTACCCGGTAACCGTTGAAAGGAGAATACCAGTTCCTGTGCCACAGCCTGTTGAAGTGCCTGTGCCCAGACCTGTGCAGGTATGGAATATCTTGTCTACAATAATTCCCAAATCCTCCGATATAAAACGATCTTTCTCATCCAAACCTTCAAAATCCCAACCAGATATTGGGGAAACAGGCGGTTTCTGCTCTAACCCCCCCCCAGCTCCCTACCTTTGAGCATCACCGTGCCTAACAATACTCTTAAAACTACATATTTTGTCATGGACGTCCGCAGGGTGCAGGGTTAGCCGTAGCCCTGGGTGTTCGGTTGGACCTTAAAATTTGCATATTTAGCATGACTTTATGTACAGTTCAGAAGATTCTTAGGATTTGCCCCCTTGGAAAAATTTGCTGACATAGGGCTCCTCAGAAAGTTTTGGGTCAGGTACACTTTCACAAAAAGTTATATCTTGCCAATGATTACCCGTCGGACAAAAATTCCTGCGTCCATGTAATTGGTTCAATACATTTGGTCTGTATGAGCAAAAAGCAAATAGAGAAGCTAATGTTATTTAGACCATCTCTTGAGTGTTGCCCCTTGTTTAGAAAACATTCCTTAGAGTAGTGCTGAAATGCTATATTTTTGGTTTTCTAGGTCCCAGTACCAGTCCCACAACCATACTCAGTACCGCGCCCCTATCCCGTCGTGATCACCAGGAGAGTACCAGTCGCCCAACCTGTCGCAGTGCGAGTACCGGTGCCTCAACCCTATGGAGTACCTGTGCCAGCACCCTATCCAGTGACAGTACCTCAACCAGTGCCAGTTAGAGTACCGCAAACGATTGTCGTTCCTGTAGCGCAGCCGATCTACGTCAGTGGCGGAGGCGGTGGTGGAGGCGGAGGAGGAGGAGGAGGTGGTTTTGGAGGAGGACTTGGAGGTAAGTTGGAGGAAAATATGAAGTCAAGTATATTGACTCAATAAGAAACTAAATATAAGGAATGCCGGATTTCAAGTAGGAAATTTTATTTTGAGTACTCTCAATAACCACGAGAATGGTGGAAAACATCGAGACACAGTAAAATGGACAAAGTTTAAAATGTTTTTCGGGCTCTTGTGGGGTAAGGATTGAACTTCAATTCTGACACTTAGTCCCCTATCGACAGTCGTCCCTACAATTGTAGGGCGCGTTTATGGCCTCCTTGATTGTCATACTCCTTTCTCTCCTTCAACTTGTCCCGTGTCAGCGTCAGTGCTGTCCTATTGTGTAGATATGTTTTCTTTTTAAATTGTAGGAAATTTCAGGCTGATAAAACATGATATAACTCAAAATCAAACACAATTTGATGCAAATAGATGTTTGTGACATAACTTCAAAATAGAGTTCTGACACGGAGACGTAGAAAACTAGGACAATCAAGGAAGCCATAAAGGCGCCCTACAATTGTAGGGACGACTGACGATACGGGCCTTAATAACCTCAGAAATACCATTTTGCAACCCAGTTTTCAAGCATTGAACGTTGCTATTTTTATTCTTTTCCAGGCATTAAGTCGTTTGTAACTCGAAAACAGTCAACTTTATATAATTACTAATGAGCTTTTAGATGAAGAGTAGTACAAAAGATGTAGATCAACATTGTCCAGTGCGAAAAAAAACATTATTTGTAATTTGTTCAAAAAACATCTTTTAAACAAATTTGCACCGAGTTACATTCAACAGATTATGGAAAAATAGATTTGAAACAAATTCCACAAAAATACAAGATGTCCGTTTAATATGCCAGCATTTGTTCAAAAATGAGCCCTCGATATCGTCACTAATTCGTCAGATTGACATATTTTCTAGCTGACAAGCAAATTGGCCACATTTTTTTCCAATTCCCTTCTAAAGCATTATAAGTTAAATATATTTTTTTCTACCGGCAACGTTTTTTTTTTTTCGTTTGGTTTTTTGTTCATCCTGAACAAAAGCTATCCTAAAAAGCCTATAAATGGATATTTTCAATGCTAAAAACCTCTAATTAATGATACTGTCTACATTAAAGTTCAAGCCTTCCCCTGTCAGATCTTAAAGGGTATTTTAGGCTCAATTTATTTTAAGCTATTTTCAACTTTATTTGGAAGGCTAACAAAAGGCGAACTTTTTATTTCGGCAGACTGTACAAGTACATGAAATACCCTAAAATATAATCCGTTAATTTCCAAAGTTTATGGTGTTGGTGTGGGAAGTTTATTTAATTAGTGCACTATTTGAGCTTTTCATGAAGAAAAGTATCCTCAGATTGCAGCAATGAGCGTGACCGTACACAATAGCCTGATTTCTTGGGAGCTCTGGTGTGAGACCATTTATCAACAGTGATAGATACGTGATAAATAGCTCTTGATACATATGCATGACCTGCTATCTGCTTGTTGTCGCGACGAATCTAGCAACTCTGTTATAACTCGAGATCGAAAGTGCTAGGGATGCATTCATACTCAGAGATGGTTTGCTGCATGAAGGAAGGAGGCACGAGGCTGAGCCACAATTCGCAAATGCTTCCCTTTTCAAGGAAAATGTACGGGAAAATATAATGTGTGAAATATATCTAATAGATGCGTAAAATTTGCGGGGCTGGAGGTGTATACATGCTATACTAACATAAAAAAATTGCGATACACCCTCCACCACCCCTACAATCCCCACCCACCGATTTTTCACCCCTAATTTTTGTTTTGTTTTTGGCATTCTTTTCCGCCGTCACTGCACCGATTTTCAAAAACTTCAACCTTTTTTGTCCTTGGCATTACAGTAACCATGTGTTTCACCCAAATCGGAGCAGTACTTTCCAAGGATTGGCAGATAGATCGGCAGACAGTCCGGCACAAATGAGTGACATGGTTTTTGCGTGATGTACATGTCGTATAACATCCAAAAAAGACAATATCTCCTTTCAGACGTTCCGGAATAATTTATTTCCTTCGTCAACACCCAGAAAAAAATGCAAGCGTCAACTTTACAGATAGGTACATTAATTAACAGTTATTACACTTAGTATTCATATTTTTTTGTTAATAGGTGGATTTGGAGGAGGTTATGGAGGTGGATATGGTGGAGGGCATGGTGGCTCTTCAGGAGGGATCTCACTTGGAGGTGAGTCGTGTACTCGTACAAATTGAAACATCCCGACTTCAAACATCGGAACAAATATTCTTGTATCACAACTAAGATCTTTCTCCATTAAGTCGACTTGCAAACAGCAAAAAAGAGAAGTCACTTCATCCGTTTAGATGCTACGTTAACAAAGCTAACAAAACTTAAACTCAATATACAGATCTGTCATTAAAATCAAACATTAAATCCAATAATATATTCTGATGAAAGACACTAAACGAACATTACTTGAATACTATCGTAAAACTAAGAGTGTATTCGTGAAAATGTTTCTAGTTGTAGTCAGCGTTCTTGGAGGGTCAAAGTAAGACTACCAGTATCCCTTTATAATGGGTGATTTTTTTGCTAGTATCTTTTTGGCAACACTGTCGATGAGCAAACATGGTAATAACTACTACTTAAGAATCCCAATTCGATTTTAAAAATGACTTAAGACAATAGGCCCACAATTTTGCATTATTTGTGATAACAATACCATCACCTACTTAATCTTCCATTACGTTTTATAGGTGGTTATGGAGGCGGTCATAGCTACGGAGGCGGTCACGGCGGAGGCATCAGCCTAGGAGGCAGTCATAGTAGCGCAAGCAGCTTCTCCAGCATCTCACACGGAGGCGGAGGATACTCAAAACATTAATCCATCGAAAATCATCTAGCATGCTCATCCTTACGTCGTCATTACATTCTGTTAGATAAATTTTTCCGTACCACAGCGTCATTACCAATGTGATAGCAGCATTCCTTTTTAGGTTACTGACTTTGTATATAACTTATGTTAAAGAAATAAATATTTAAGAGTGAGATCGATAAGTTTTCATCTTGTGTCAAGTATGTAGATTGACTCAGTGGCCCTATGTCGAGATTGTTCTTCAATACATCATACCCAACTTTACGAAATTCCCTCGTAAATAAAACAGTGATTAAGCATATATTCCCTCAGAGCCCTTCCTCACCGAGATGCTATGACGACGTCGTACATTGGTCTATCTGTGCGAAAACCTGGTAAAAACTGAAAGGTTCGAAAATGAATAAAAATTTCATTGCATATTTGGAACAGGAACTTTACCTAAACTACCTTTACCATGACAGAATATTGAACTTAAAGTTTATGGTGTATCATTCGATGATGCTTTTTAATAAATATTTGAGCATTCGGATATGGATTATAATAAAGAGATTAAGAAGTTTTTTTGGTGTAATACAAAACGTTCACTGTGTTTTCTTATAAACCGTAAGTTGACAGATGACATTATCAGAGCCACTGATCAGGGAAGGTGTACAGTTTTGATAATGTTGGATTTTAGTCGAGCCTTCGATACGATCAATTTTAATTTACTCCTAAATATATTGCATTATATAGGCCTCGATTCGGATAGTGTCAACTTTTTCAGTAAGTATCTAAAGAGCAGAAAGCAAAAGGTTTTCTTGGAGGGAAGTTATTCTGACGTATTAGCCTTAAAATCAGGCGTGCCGCAAGGCTCTATTATGGGTCCACTCCTTTTTGCAATTTATACTTCATACCTGGGCAAAGGCTTAAATACTTGCAAAATGCACTGCTATGCTGATGACACTCAGCTGTATCATACTTTTCTACCCGGTGATGTGGACACTGTGAGTGCAATCATCAACAGAGATTTAGCATTATTGACAAAGAATGCCGAAGAACATTGTTTACATCTTAACTCTAGCAAATATAAAGTAATTGTATTTGGGCCAAAGCATGCGCGCCAGGCTGTTACTAACTCAATTAACTTTACCATCAATGCACAACAACTTGAAACTGTCAGTGAAGCAAAGAACTTGGGTGTAACATTGGATGTAAATTTAAGATTTGAAAAACATGTAAATTCGCTCATTCGTAAGGCATATTCCTCTTTAAAAATATTGTACGGCAACAGACGTAACCTTCCCGTTAAAGTCAAAATAAATCTATGCGAGTCGTTGGTGCTCTCGCACTTCAATTTTTCTGATATGTTGTATGGCCCATGCTTAACTGCCACTTACAAACAAAAAATTCAGGTTGCGCAGAATTCTTGCCTCAGATTAATATATGGCATCAGAAGACGAGACCGAATATCCCATAAGTTGAAAGATGCGAATTGGTTGAACATGGAAACAAGAAGATTTTTGCATGCCGCAACATTATATCATAAAATAATTATGTATAAGACCCCCACTTACTTATTTGAAAAAGTTACATTTCGAACAGATGTGCATAACATCAATATAAGATCCAGGGGGTTGCTGACACCGCCGATATTCCGAACAGCCCAATTTGAACGATCGTTCAGCTACCAAATTTGCTCCATTTATAACACCCTTCCGGTACAATATAAAACTATGAGCATCTCAAGTTTCAAAACTCAGTTAAAAAAATATCTCTTATCCCAGCAGTAGTAACCATGTTTCAGGAAAATATTAATACAAGTTTATGATTCATTTTAGTAGATGTATTAATGTAAGCACTGCATATACATTTAATATTTGTAATGTGTAGAATAAGTAGGTCTCACTCACCAGTTGTAGACTTTTTTATAGCGGGTTAAGTGGAAGAGCAGCTACAGCTGAACTTCGCCCGTATTTGGGTATTTTTTTATATAATTAGTCTATTTCGAAATAAAGACGTTTATTATTATTATTATTATTAAGTTGAACTGCCCAACTAACAATTATCACTCCTATTAGAGTTGCAAGAATGATTATACAGTATTCCTTAAACAGCATTGTATACTGTAAGAGCATTGGCAAAACCCTCTTAGAACTGCTATACAAGCGGAATGGGCACACCTAATAGGACACTTCAGTCATTTAAAAGGTTGTATAAGGGCTGCAGGTAACAGTTATACAACAAAAGTGTAAGCCTCTTGCTGCCGCTATAGGACATTTGCGTCAGTGCAAGATTCAGTTTTTGTCAACTATACAACTATTCTGTTACGTGATTCTATTTTATTGCAACAAAACTATTTCTTATGTATTGTATAGACAAAGAAGAATAATATATAACTAACACATTACAGTCATCTTGTTTACTTACATATCGGCCATTGTGAATTTCATACACAGGTATCTGATAAACTTCTACACTGTGATATAGGGCTATTCAATTACTTGTGCAGCAAATTTTATTGTGATTATCGTGCAAATTAGTTACGCAATTTCTACAGGCTTCGTATTTGATTCATATTTTGATAATGATCAAAAGTATGTCTGGATTTTTAAGATGGAAAACTGAACTTATCTGTGTTAAATCTTCCACAAATCCTATACTTAGACACGATTACACTAATGTTTATCACTTTCTATCTGTAATTTCTAACTGAAACATAATTATTTAATATTAAATAGAGGAATAAATGTTTGCGCAATATGGCGGGCGGTTGTGTATAATCATGGCATCGTCCATGTTGTCTTTAGGTTATTAGAATATGTTGGTGTTGCCTGCAGGTGTTATACAACAATTTGACAAATGTCTGAAATGAAATACCGACAGAGTCGAATGATTTACCCAGAATTTTTACCAGATCTATATCTTCTGTTTGAACAGTTGATAAAACATTTTGAATCAATATGCATGCGTTGTTTGTCTTAAAACATTGGTTATGGCATTTTAACAATATGACAGCAGAAAGTTAGGTTATGGTGAAGTTGTATACCAACATATTTAGCATATGTACAGCCTTTAACAGTTACTAAACAACAGTTGTATAAGTGCTTCCGTTGGGAGCAATTTGTTGGCTAAAGTAGTAAATTGCACAGCAAAACAACGAGGCTCGGGTTTGTTTTATAAACGTTACCATGGATGACACAACACAACCATTTAGACTAACGTGCAAATATGCCGTATAAAATAGTGGTATAAACGTTTATGCAACAGTTAAAAATTTGACCTATAAGGTGTTGTATAGCTATGCTATAAGAATATTTTAAACAATAGAGCAAAAATGTTGCAGAAAGCAAACTTTCATTCCACACAACATTAAGCCAGCATTTTGGTGTTCAGGCAACAACAATAGAGAACTTTTATGGCTGAACGGTTCTTTTACCAAAAGCTTATACCACTTCTTTGCTAGTTGGGTGATTACTACTTTTAGCTTCACTTCTTTATATTATTATCATTATTCAAAGAGGTTTTTAATAAGATTTCGCCTTGTCCCCAACTGGAATAAATTATGCTTGTGAACCTTGAAGTACTTCAAGATAGAATGTTGTGTCAGTTTTTGCTGATATTTGCAAAATATTGAGAAACGTATACTGCCATATTATTGCAGGTGGTCGGGTAGGGTTTTATAACTTTTTTTTGAAATGACCTTGAAATGACCTTCAGAGTGGCTAATTGACCTTTGATAAGGACTGGTTAACCAAATGAAAGCTAAAAGACATGCGGTTGAGCTCAACTGTTTCGCTTCTTTTAAAAATGTCGTTGATATGACCTTGACGTGACCTTCAAACGCTCTGAAAGAGACTCATCCCAGATTTGAAATCGGCAACTCAAAAAACCATATTTTTCAAAAAATACGTATAAGTCCATAAGCCATTGTGCGTCACCCGCATCCATAGTAAAAATTAACCTATGAAATATCGATTAATCAATCATTATGATTAATCAAATCGCTTGAGCTGCTTATTGCATTGGAATAAACAAGAAGCAACATATGTTCCAGAACTAATTCGTACTTCAAACTAGCGCACTGATGCAAAATACTATTGTCGAATATTTATTTATCACACGATTAAACATACAACAAAATACGTATCACAAAGATCACCAAATCTTGCATTTGCTTCTAGGATTCATATAACTTCCTTCAGGACAATGAAACGCTCGGGCAAAGTCTTCCGAATTTTGTAACGTACCTAGTACCCTCACTAGGTTTGGACTATGTTCATCGTACTCTATTTGGTCTTTGAGGTCCTCCAGAGAGATTGTCTCGCACCAAATCTGAAACATAAACAACCATTTTGAGGAAATTGCTTTGATTTTTACTGGTCTCTGATTTCTTCGCTCCAAGAAAGGCTACAAAAGTCTGTAGTGTGATTATAAAGTCACAATCTTCCACAATTCTGTCAAACAAATTTAGAAAATAGTGGTTTTCATAGTTCGTAAGTAGAAACTGGAATCATAAAATGGACCATGTGTAGGTTAACTTTTCAACTTTTTTTATTGAAAAAGTCCATTGAGGGTCCCTGTTCCTGTCCTTAAGTTTGAGTTTTCGTTGAGATCTTTAAAATTGTCCCTAAAGAATTATTTTCAAGTAGTCCAAATCACTTCAGAAAATGTCTTTGAATAATGTATATCTTACACTTCCATATGCCAGAAAAAATAGTTGATCGTTGGTGAAGTCCTCGAAACCAGGCAACGTAGGTTCAACTCCATATTTCTTGGAGTGACTCTTATATGCTGAGTAAGCCTGATGTATCCCACCATTATCAGCTAAGTTCTCTGCAAGCGTAGCTTTTCCTTTCACCTGAAAATTCAGTTACACAAATTGCGTTTATCCAACATACTAATATACTATTACCACCTAAAAGTTTATGTAACCAACTATAACTCCAAAAGACACATTGCCCTCCACGAAGAAATGCAACAAATACTACCCCGTGGACTTCATAGTGGACATTTGCATAAATATACTAAGTGACATATAAATCCGAACACCCAGTTTAAATGGTTTTATTTTAATAAAAGTTGGTGAATGTATTTATCTTACTGTAAATAACAAGTGAAAAAATTTTCAGCCTTATCAGTTGGACATTCCGGTTTTTATACTGCTTTTTTTTAATTTACTAACGCTCTAAAAATGAATATTTCAGCCGCAGTAAAGAATCAACGTTGGCGGATTTTGGTTCTTGACATCCTTTACGATCGGTTACGATGCCTAGAGTACGGAGACCTGTACGATTTCGTCAACTTAGTGAGTTTGATAGGAGCCGTATGGTGGGACTTCGGGAAGCTGGACTTTCTTTTCGGGCAATTGCAGTTAGAGTGCAAAGAAGTGTAGACACTGTGGTTAGGTGTTGTCAGGCATGGCTTCGAGAATGCCGTACGCAAAGAGCAAGGGGCACTGGACACCGCCGTAGAACAACAGACCGTGAAGATCGCCGCCTAAGATTATTGGCCTTAAGGGACCGTTTCTCCACTACCAGGTCCATTGCAAATGAATGGTTTGCAGAACACGGAAGACCTATTGGCATGCGAAGTGTTTACCGACGAATAAGAAGTTCTGGCTTGTTTTCATACCGGCCACACTGGGTCCTCCCTTTAACTCGAGAACCCCGACGTAATCGCCTTGAGTGGTGCAGACAACGGTCACTCTGGGATCAGGAATGGAACAGTATTGTCTTTAGTGACGAGTCTCGATTTTGTTTAGGCATGCACGATGGTCGTGCCAGGGTTAGAAGGCGACGTGGTGAAAGGAGGAATCCACTGTTTTTTGTTGAAAGACATGTTCATCACACTGTTGGAGTTATGGTTTGGGGTGCTATAGCTTATGGTTCCAGGTCACCTTTAATCTTCATCAGAGGTAACATGAGCGCGAAGCGTTATATCCACGAAGTTCTAGAACCCCATCTTTTACCCTATCTTGACACCCTGGCAGATCCAACTTTCCAACAAGATAATGCCCGACCACATGTTGCAAGAGTCACAATAGACTTCCTTCAACATAATGATGTCACATTGTTACCATGGCCACCAAGATCTCTCGACTTATCTCCAATTGAGCACGTGTGGGATATGATGGGTAGGAGATTGCTCAATTTGCAACGTCCTCCTCAGACTCTAGAAGCACTTCGAGAGGAGTTGGTGGTTGCCTGGAATGAGATACTACAGGAGGACATTGACCACCTGATCAGAAGCATGCCTAGGCGCGCTGGAGAATGCGTAGCACATCAGGGTGCATCCACACATTATTAAAGGTCAAAGGGCTTTAAAGCAGTGCAATCATTTTGAATTTTTTATCATTTACTTATTATGCTTCATTAAGTACTTATACAAAATTTTATTAAAATAAAACCATTTAAACTGGGTGTTCGGATTTATATGTCACTTAGTACATGTATAATTGTAGTTAGTAGGTTTTTGGCGAAAGTAAGGGTACCGAAAGCTTGTAGTTTAAAGTAAGATCAAGATTTCGGCTCTGTTGGTCGCAAATATCTGGGTATTTCTCAACAAATTTAGAAATTTCATTTTGCATTTCTTAAAAAGAAATTAATGAAAACATATCCTTTTTTTTGCAGAAATATAAAGTTTTACTTTAGAGAGGTTCATTTAAAATGAAAGTCCTCCATATGTTTGTGTATAACATGTAGAAAAATGACTTTCAAAGAACTATGAAATGAGGGAATTACCGATAGGACGGGGGAATGATTTTCACAACAATTTGATGCTGAATTTCAATAAAAACATAAGTCAATTTTATTCTTTAGAGAGCTTAGATAGTCCGTCTTCTCTGGGCACATTCTCGTATTTTCATCATCCTCCAAGAAATTAACAACATCACTCTTAACGTTCAGCATTTTGGAGCTAACTTTACGAGTACAGTTCTTTTTGAACGTATCGTTTCTGAAAAAAATGTTTCGATCTATATAGCAATTTGTACTTCTGCACTAATTGCAGCTTCAACATTTTGTAATATTTTTTCTTTTCTCTTGAATATTCTTTAAAAGCGAAGTTTGGGTCACTATTTTTAGTTTTCAATCTCAAATACCTCTTCTTGTATTTTTCACTAAGCTTTACTAAGACAGAAGAATGGTTACTTTCCAATGTTCCTGCAAAATCGTCCAATCCCTGAATAGCAATCCATTAGACATTTGCGGTACTTGCAGGACCCCAAGACCCAAGAAATAAGTTTTCTAGGAAACGACAGTTACAATGGGACCAAATCGGGCCACAAATAACTCAAAACTTCCATGCCACGATGACTTCAGGCGATAATTGATGCAAATAGTGTGTTAAGAAAGTACTAGATGTAAATAGATTTTCTTAAAACTGATTTACTTGTTTGCTTTTTTTAAGAGTGTCAACACTTTTTTGACCCTTGAATATCGTAATTCCTGTAATCATTCTTATATTATTTAATTTGTCAATCTATTGCCTTCAAGAATTACTATTTGGATGCTGGTTTCCTAATAAATGTAATAACAAAAAATGCATTTTTTCATTATTTACATTCAAGAAAAATATTAGGCGTGCCAATCAGGGGCGAGTTTAGTAAATATTTTTGGGAAGGGCCCATATTTTGAATTTGAAATTACCCGCTCGAAAGGGTTCTGGGGGGGTGCGGGAGGCACGGTTCATGGAAGGATGCGCGTCTCGGGAAGGGGGTATCTGCGATTGAAAATTGAAGAGCGGGGGTGTGGTGGCATCTGCTCCATCAGTGATTATCAGAATGAATGCCCTTGAGACAATTGGAGAGCGGGGGATCGACGATTTGGCATTGAAGAGTAGTGGATATTGGCTATTGAAGATTAAAGAACGGTGGGGAGGTAGTCTGCGAATTGAAAAACACGTTCAAATTTTTTTTGAACCAGGATGCTTCGAGGGAGGTACCCTGTTGGCCAACTGTATATCGTTATTATCGTTAAAAAGAATGGAGCAGCATGATATACGGTTGGTCGTAGAGATGGAAAGCAAACAGACCTTATTGAGCCTGTGTTTGGTACCTGCAACTTTTGCATAGTACGTCAATGCATAAATATATCATTCCGAGATGCCAGGAAACGTACAGGTCGGTAGTACCACGACTGGCGAGCTACTCATAGGTGGCAGTGTCAGCTTTACTTATCTTTCGCTCCCAGTTCTGATGAACCCGATAGATACTTACATGTTCTTCGAGGCCCTCAAACGTAAAATTATCGTATTGTTTTATAAAGCACTCAGTAAGCTTCTCGAAGGTCTCAATCGTTGCGTTACTCCACCATTGTACAGTGTTGCCATACTTATCATGCTTCCTCCCTTAAAATTAATTAGTCTCTATCAAAACTCGTCTGAATTAGTCCTAGTGAAAGTTATTTGAGCTACTCCCCCATATTACCTCACTCGCTTGAAAGTTTCATCTGCAAAGACTTGCAGTGTTTTCATAGGCTTCCACGTGCTTATTTCTAATTTTCTTTTCCCTAGCTCCGAAAATTATTTTTCGCTAGACAGTGTGTGTTTTACGACGGCAGTATGTTGAAACTTCCTATTATATATAAGACGCTATGATATTTATTGACTACAGGAATATTGACTTTAGATTTTTGTATGGAGATCATTTCATCGTTAAGGAAATGAGCTCGTTGAATACGATATTTGAGTGCCATCTTTTTAATATGACGATGCGAGCGACAAAAATACATAGCAGTAAAGTAAACATTCAGTAAGGTCATGATGAAGTCACAGAAAAAAGCTTTAAAAAAAGTTTCTTGATAACCATAAAAGTTCCAAGAGATTGAACTGGCTAATTTTGAGTACTCTAAAAAAAGTTTAATTACAACTTATGACGTTTGACTTCTACGTCAACAGATTTGTAGTTAGTTTTTAATTGCGAATAAACTTATGTGGTAATTAAACATACCCATATTATCAAATCCATGGGTCAGTTCATGTCCTAAAATAGTCCCTATAGACCCGTAGTTCAAAACCCTAAAAACGGAGTATATGTTATACGGGGTGTTAGGGAAATAATATTCGTAACTTCAAGAGGTGATTCCTTGCATTATTCTAAGCAAAATGGTTCATTCTACCTTATGTCCGAAAATCAATCGTTTTCGAGGAAAGTGAGTCGTAAATAATTAAATTTTCTCAAACATTTGGCAACGCTGCAACGCAACCGCGATACGAGCGCACGACGACCGCAACTGGTTCATCGAATTGTTGACGTTTGTGTGTTATTTTTTTTGAAAATATGCCTTGCAATTTTTTTGGCTAATATTTTTTATTTAATAACGCTTTCAGTACAGTACATGTTCTTAAAAAAAATTACAGAACTTACCGGTACGTGGCGATATGCACCATTAATTCCCACGATGCGATGCACGAAAAAAGAAAAAAAAAGCAACATCCGTAAATCACATAAAGTTACAGTTACATGTATTGATAATCACAACAACACGCGGTGATACACCGCAGTGCAGGCGGAGTACGACGTTGCCAGTTGTGTGAGGGATTTTGTTTGTCTGTTTTTCTTCGGAAAATTGTATGTAATACGCAAGAAAATTATTTCGTTAAAGACAGTTAATTAATAAATAGATGTCTTGATACATTTTACGCTATGAATTTAAATTATTAATATGAAATTTATTTATTTCATGACTAAAAAGAAATGAGTTGAGCATTTTTTTGCTCCAAAACGCTTGATTTTTGGACATAGGTTATAATGACGTGTTTTGCTTAGAATAATGCAAGGAATCACCTCTTAAAGTTACGAATATTATTTCCCTAACACCCTGTATAAGCACCTTCCAACACTGGACTGGAACTGTTTGATCGTACTCAGACCTATTTGCCATTTGATATTTCAAATAATTCGAAATGTTCTTAAACAAATATGATTCAATTTGAGTATACTTACTCTAATCCTAAATTATACATAGGAAAATTCAGTATTGCCATAGGAACATCTGTAAGCATAAGGTCAATGTGAGAAAAAATGTTTCTTCATATCTTAGATGCAAATCAGATTTTATATAGAAGGTTAAGTATTCTATTCTAATTCAAATGAATTGTGAAAGTTCATGTTTATCCTATAAAAAAACTCACTGATTGCATTGTCAGAGAAGGAATTATAGGCATTGACTTCTATTGGTTCTGCATACCAGTCCCTCTTATGTATCTTTCTCAAGGAGTTCATTTTCTTCAGATTATGTGAAATTATTATGTTTATCATGTTAACAAGGAATCTGTCAGGACGTATTTCTACCTAAAAAATTGAAATTGGTGAATCTGAAAATAAAAGCTGAAGCTTGACAACTATAGATTTTCGAACTTAGCTGACATAGGGATAGTTTAATAATATCTGAGTCATCAGAGCACTGTGTGTTCAATATGAATTCCAGGGTTTTTATACTTCGGATAGTACTTAAGATTACTTTGATATTCAGAAAGGTTAATGCCAGTAACGTCAATAATAATATACTATTCAACTTGATTAACGGATACTTTCTTTATTCACTCATGTTAGCACTAGCTTTTGTCTAATATCATTGCAGTTTTAAGACTGAGCCTTTTCCCTGCGGCCTGAATCAATTCTGAAAACAGACAGATAATTCGGCCCCTTTCATTGCACAAATGTATGTATGGGGTACATTCGAATTTTATAAGCATTTGTTAGTTCAATACCAAGAAAGAAGGAAATTTGTCTCTAAAATCTTGTCAATATTTAGAATTACCTATAACTATTTTCTTTGATGAAAGGAAATACAGTTTTAAAAATTAGTTACGCGCATAAATTCACGTCACCAACATCCAACCTAATCAAAGACAAAATGTGCCAAATATCTGGAAAAAGAAGTGAACTTTTTCCTATTGTAATGTTCTTTTTATGGAAAATTTAACAAATACGATTGTCGTATAATAGCAGTTTTATTTTTTGGATCCTCAGTAACTTGTATTATTTGAGATTAAGTTTCGCGACCTACCTAGTCTACGGTCTTCATGCTTTTGACTACAATTGTAGGACGTCTTTTTGTCGTCCTTGATTATCATAATATTTTCTCTACTTCAGAAATGCTGGGATATTTCTAGATTTATCAGTATAAGCGCTCTCCTATTGTGAAGTAATTTTTTCTTTTAGAATCGTAGGAAATTTCACGCTGATGAAACAGATGATATAAATCAAAAGCAATCAAGAGCACTGACGCGGAACAGTAGAAAACTATGAAAATCAAGGCGTCCTACAACTGTAGAAACGACTGACGATCCTTGATTTTCATAGCCCTCACTATCCTTCAGAAACGTTGAAATAGACCAAAGAACCAACCATAGGTTTCTACTTTCCAGAATGTGCGTCGCTAAACATGAGATGGCTAAATACCTTTGGCGGTGGGGGTATAGTGAACGACTGGGAGGTTTTATCGAATATAACACGTTTCTGGAGAATCTCACACTTAGGGTATGACTGCCTGAGAATGAATATAAAAGTTTTCCACATAAAAAAAAAGCAAAAGTCATATGTGTGCCGGCCAGAACAGTTCGCACAGTCTATGGCCAAATCCAAGATGGATGTACCCTTTTTTCCAACGTCAAACGTATAGGTTTTCCTCTCCGAATGGATTTTCATTTAATTATGAATCTCTCTGCACGTTAACAACAAGCTACTTCGCGGTTCATCCTCGAAAATTCAAGGGTATGGAAAAAGGTGTACAACGGTTGCGCTGATGTTAAATATGTCGTGCTGCCCATATAAAACTCTAGAGAAAACGCAAAAACACCGACATATCTTAATATAACTATAAGAATCTTGTCTATCACAGTGAATTGTACTCTGCATATCTATGCAACTTTTGTGTTGGGAGATCCAGTCACTCCAAGCATTGATTAAAGTACTCTACCTGAAGATCGGCAACCTAATGCTATATTCGCGCATCCAAAAAATTATCAGAGATAAAATGAGATACCGTCGAATCATCTACGAGAATTAGTCATAGCTGTTTCTCAGTTTTCTATATACGCTTTGAAAAGGTAAGTGTATCATAGATGGCGCTGCCGATACGCCCGTATATGTTACGTACGTTATAAACAGTACGCCCACAAGCTATCACCACGTTGTCTGCCAACGACATCGAGAAAGGACACGGATCTGGTCACGGAGCACTGTTTTCAGCTCTTTCTTAAGGTGCGTTTAGATCTGAGCACGCACGCACTGATCCAACGCGAATGCTCAAGTGTAAACGGCTAAGCGCGTACGTTCACCCTGCATCTTCGTGTGCGCGAGCAACAGTGAATTGAGTGAATGCGATTCGCCTGTTATCGGTCTCAAGGCGTTGCTCAAAGGAATTAATGGGTTCGCGAATGCTCAGTGTGGTCGGAAGCGACAACGCGGCGCACAGAATTAAAGAGTTGGTTGTATTTAGTGCAGTAAATAATGAAATGGAATAATACTAAAGTTCTACGACTCTTGCAAGAGTTTGAGATATTATCGGTACTGTGGGACGTTAGGCACGAAGAGTATTATTTAAAATCGAAAAAAAATGGTGCATGGAAACAGCTAATAATCAATTATAGCATTGGAAATGTATGCTGTTGCGAAGCACAGAAAAAAATTAAAACTCTGATGGGATAATTTCGTCTCAAAAAAATCAAAACGAAGATTTTGACACTGAAAAGATACTGCAAGCTGCTGTAGGAGTCTGTAATTCTCCTCAGTTTTTCGTAATTTATAACTTTGAACGTAACCTCTCTTCAGAAAGCGCAACATAAAAATAACCCGTCGGGCACAGCCAACAGATATACTTCATTGGCAGCATATTCAGAAATGATTTTCTCACAGAGCAAATACCACTGATATTATGCACATGCAGACTAATACACATAATCATCCAGATGCGATCTTGCTATTCAACCAACTTTCTTCTCAGAGATAAAAACTACAGACAAGGATCCAGTTGGCCTCACAATACATATGCAACCAATAATGCCTTTAGTTTAATTGAGTGATTCCTCCTTAGATGGACGTTCACAATGATCCTAGTGAGCAAACGTGGAATGACTGTTTGCGCCCTAAAAACTACCTAGTTTGCAAGATGACATCTTATAGGTTTGTTTTTGACGTTTTATAGGTTTTTTTACATGATACCCATGCCGGATGGACATGAACATTTGCATGCTTAGCATGATTTTCTGTAGAATTTTGAGAATTTAGGATTCAGGTAGAATACGTTAAGCAACCCAACTAACAATTATCACTCCTATTAGACTTGCAAGAATGATTATACAGTATTCCTTAAACAGCATTGTATACTGTAAGAACATTGGCAAAACCCTCTTATAACAGCTATAGAAGCGGAATGGGCACACCTACTAGGACACTTCAGTCATTTAAGAGGTTAAATAAGGGCTGCAGGTCACAGTTATAAAAAAAAGTATAAGCCTCTTGCAGCCGCTATAGGACATTTGCCTCAGTGCAAGTTTCAGTTTTTGTCAACTATACAACTATTCTGTTACATGATTCTACTTTATTGCAACCAAACTATTTCTTATCTATTGTATAGTCGAAGCGAAGAATATAGAACTAACACATTACAGTCATCTTGTTTACTTACATATCGGCCATTGTGAATTTCATACACAGGTATATGATAAACTTCTACACTTTGATATAGGGCTATTGAATTACTTGCGCAGCAAATTTTATTGTGATTATCGTGCAAATTAGTTATCCAATTCTTCCGTTGGGAGCAATTTGTTGGCCAAAGTAGTAAATTGCACAGCAAAACAACAAGGCTCGGGTTTGTTTTATAAAGGTTACCATGGATGCCACAACACAACCATTTTGCTTAACGTGCAAATATACCGTATACAATAGTTGTATAAATGTTTATGCAACAGTTAAAAATTTGCCCTATAAGGTGTTGTATAACTATGCTATAAGAATATTTTAAACACTTCATTTTAGAGCAAATATGTTGCAGAAAGCAAATCTGCATTCCACAAAACATTAAGCCAACATGTTTGTGTTCAGGCAACAACAATAGAGAGCTTTTATGGCTGAACGGTTTTTTTACCAAAAGCTTATACCACTACTTTGCTAGTTGGGAATGCTCCAAGCTCAATAGCGCAGACACTCTTAATTTGATTACGATGCGCTTTAGATCTTCATGAAGTCGAAGGTTGAGACTACATCTGTTTCAAAACCGCAATGAAATTACAAAAATTGTAGTGCTAAAATAAGTGATCAAAGAAGGTGACCCGCTGAATAAGTTGGGCTGTTATTTACATCCTCATAGTACTCATCCAACTTTCCGTCCTCGAACAACCAATCGGGATACCCGACGAAGCTAATCATCTCTTTGCATTTCTCCAGTGTCACTCTTTTTGTTTCCCAATCCATCCAATTGATATTATAAACGTGATTCATAAAAGCTTGTTTCATCTCGTTGATCATTCTTTCCACCTGAAAGGATCATAAACCTATGTTTACGTATCGGACATCGGGTACTGAAAATGTAATTCGATTTGTTTCTCTGCTGATCAAACCATCTAGATTAATATTATACTACGTTATAAAAGCTTTCAAACCTGCGTACTTTTGGTTTAGTATTGTTTGGAAATGACTGATCTGCAAGCGCGTAACTGACTGCGTAGCCCATGTAGCTATTCGCTAGCAGTGCACACTCCAAGGACCTGAAAAAACATCACAAGCATTATAATGTTGCTTCAAAAGTTTCATTTGGTTTTTAGTTTATGGCAGATGTTCAAATACGTCCATCCAAAACGTCTCCTTACTAGCCAATGATACGGCTAAAATCATTTTCGTCGATGTTCTGACCAGAGTGACCATACCAATATACAGGGTGTCCGCAAAGTTGGGGTTTTCCTTTTCAGAAACAACTACCCTTGAAATAACACAGGTAATGTGTAGTGAAACGAGGGCGACCAAGTAAAAAAAATAAAGAAAAAAGTACTCACTCTCCAGTTGACGAGAAGGGCTAAGTACGTCTCTGCCCGAAATCATACCGCACCAACATAAAATGAAATCAGCTGATGCGCTACCGAGCAGACGCCGGCGGTGGTGCAGACCAGTAGACCACGAACAGAGGTAACAAATATGACCATCGTGCAGAAACCACATTGATTGCCTTACACATAATGGCACATCTTCTAACAAGGAAGGCAAAATGTTGCGTAAAAAGTCTAGGTATTGCATCCCGTCCAATCGATTTGGGAGAATAAATGGTCCAATGAGCATACCGTTCACCATGCCAGCCCAAACATTCACCGAAAATATTTGTTGAAAATGTGCCCGACGGACAGCGTGCGGATTTTCTACTGACCAAACATGAGTGTTGCGAAAGTTATTCACCCCATTACGCGTGAACGTAGATTCGTCTGTCAGCAATATGTACTTCAAAAAGTCCGGATTATTGTCATGTTGATGCAACAACCACTCACAGAACCGCACTCTTGCTGGAAAATCGTCAGGTTGAAGGGCTTGTACACGTTGGACGTGAAACGGATACAGCCCCTCTTCACGCAGCGTTTGCCACACTTTAGTTTTTGATACTTGCACTTCTCTAGCCACGTCTCTAGTGCTTGTTGTTTTTTGAAACGCAATCGATTATACGGGTTCGTTTACCTCTACACGCGTGACCGTAACCGTCGGTTGAAGGTTGCATACTGACCTGACACACTGACCCCGGACCCGGTTCTGTCGTCGGGTTGAGCTAGTGTCCTAGTACCAGTTGGGGATGTCGCGAGTCGCGGCTACAGGACGATATTCAGATACTTTTGATGTTGCAGAGCCCTTTATCTCGGTTCCCTTAGGACATTGGTGTATATGGTACTGAGACAAATTGCTTATGTTTTCAAGATCTACACGTCGTGTAAAGGAAAACCCCAACTTTGCGGATACCCTGTATAACTATAATAGTTGAATGATAAGTTTCAGGAGTTACTGCTTTTCGATGTGAAGCTGCCACATGTTTAATTCCAAAAAGCATGGAAAATTGCTCCAAACTGATTTATATGATTCTTGAAGAACCTATTCAATTTTACCCGTTGAGGTTACCTAGTCCTTACAACACCTTCTGAAGAGCCAGTAGCTTTATCTATCTGCTTATTAATATACTCAGCAACTTCTGAAGATGTGCTAATGATCATAGCATAAACGGTGGTCCACCACATGTACAATTCTAAATGTGAGTCTGGTGTATCGTAGGTGTACTTCAATACGGATTTCAGATATGCCACGTCCGTTTGCGTGACATACAGACGATCTTTTGTGGGATCTAAAAAAACACATAGTTTTTCATAAGTCCAAATTGAAACCTCAGAAACAAAAACTCCAGCACCATTTGGAATTGAACCCATGACACTTATTCTAGGCAGATGCTTTCGTGCTTCTTGGCATCAGCATCAGCCACGAAGCACGAAACAGCTGTCCGTGGTTGGTCTTTTGGTTGGACAGACAAAAGCATCATGTCCAGTTTTATAGACCACATACTATACAGGGTTATCCAAATTAAGTGTCCACCATTAGTAACTTTGTTATTAGTGAAAATACAAAGTTGTTTGAATTAGCAAACTAGTAGCATTTTTAACGCTGGTAAAAATGAGGAATAAAAAAAACAATTGAGAGTCGTTATTTTGATTTTTTTCAGTAAAATAACATTTTTTTAAATGGAAACCCCTGTATATTATATTTTTTTCTGTTAAAGCATCAAATTTTAAACAAAAAAGCTTACAATAACTTTTCTCCTAGGTTACAAATTGTTGAAGTTATGGCCTCCAATCTGAAACAATTAAATTGTATCGACAAACTTTATTTTCAACATCAACTTATAATCTTACAAAATACAATAACAATTTTTTTTAAAGAAGATGCTCGAAAACACCACCTTGTTCTTCAATACATTTTTGGGCACGTTTTTCAACTGCTCGAACTGTCTTAAGTATGGTCCTACCATCTATCTGGGTTATCTTTTCCCTAACTGCAGTCTTTAACGCGTCAAGGTTATCGTACCTTCGCTTGTAAATTTGGTTCTTTAAGTAACCCCACAAGAAGTAATCAAGTGGGTTTAGATCTGGTGATCTGGGAGGCCACTGTATTGGGCCATTTGTTCCTATCCACTGATCATTAAAAGTAGTACTTAGAAAATGATAAGTACCTCTGGAGTTGTGGGCAGGTGCGCCATCTTGCTGAAAATGCAGATGATGTCTACTTATAAGATCCAATTCGTCTAAGAAATTAGTCAGAATTTCTGACATAAATTCCACATATCTTTCACCAGTTAGGGTTCCGTCATAAAAGAACGGGCCAACAATTTTTGAACCAATTATACCGCACCAAACGTTGAAACTGAAACGGACTTGTGGGCCTCTTGGATGTACTAACAAAAGATTTTCTCTTGACCAATAATGGTGGTTTTTTCTATTAAACATTCCAGAATTTGAAAAATTTGATTCATCTGTCCATAAAAGGTAACGAAAGTTATTTACATTTTGGCGACAGAAGCTAAGATACCAATGGCAAAAAACAAGTCTTCTCTCTGGATCCCCTGCCAAAAGCGTTTGAACTGGTCGGTACTTATACGGAATAAATTTGTATTTTTTTAAAATCCTTTGAGCAGTACCATAACTGAAATTAGAGTCCTTGAGAATATCTGCTATTGAATTCTCACGATAAGCTTCAAAATATCCAATAACTGCAATTTCCGTGGCCTCGCTTATTATGAATTCTTTTTTTGCCCTTGTTTTAGCAAAAACATTTTCGTTGCCCCTAAATTTTCGATAAAGTCTCAGAAAATATCGTTCATACGGTTGAATGCGAGCGGGATATAATTCACTGTAGTATTCTCTTGCTCTCAAGGAGGATTTTCTGCACACTAAATAGCATTCTAACATATCACACTTTTCTTCATGGGAGAACATTTTTCTTTAAATTAATGACACAATAAAGCTTATAAACAAGTATTTACACTAATGTTTGACATTATTTGATTTTATCATTGTTTTCCAAAGCCTTCTATATGTAGTTGCGAGTATGTCCAGATTAACAATTTGTCGCTTATCTTAATGCTGTCAAATCGCGAACGCCATGTTGTTTTCATAGCCGTCTTAATATTATAATACTGCAAATAATTAAAAATATTTATCGTTATTTTGACTTTATTTTTGACTTTAGCGGAAAAGTCATTATGAACTTTTTTGTTTAAAATTTGATGCTTTAACAGAAAAAAATATAATATACAGGGGTTTCCATTTAAAAAAATGTTATTTTACTGAAAAAAATCAAAATAACGACTGTCAATTGTTTTTTTTTATTTCTCATTTTTACCAGCGTTAAAAATGCTACTAGTTTGCTAATTCAAACAACTTTGTATTTTCACTAATAACAAAGTTACTAATGGTGGACACTTAATTTGGATAACCCTGTATACTATGCAGCCAGAATCGTCATCTAACAGTCATAAAACAACTGGGCTATTTATCGAGAACTGAAATCTTTACCGTTGCAAAAAAATAGCAGCTATGCGCTCTCCACAGTGGTCAATACTGGTAATAGATGGCGCTTTGCGCTGTTTTATATCAAACACACCAATGAAGTACAATAATTATCTTTCTAATGTTTATACAATATGAGCTTCTCGAATTTGGGTAGAGATATACTGATGAATGCTAATACATATATTCAGTATTCTTAAAGATACCACGTTCTGAGCTGGTGCTGTGGTCAAAGGAGATCATGTCATGTTGTCTGAATACAAAGTATACATCTAGACTGCAAGAGGTCATTAGTTCAAATCCCAGGGCGTCTTTAGTAGATACGATTTTTAGTTTCAATAACAGAACCAACTAAAACTAACAATATGCACATTGAGGATTTAAGGTATGTTATGACTTATTCGAATCATATGGACACTGACAGTGCTGTGACTTCCTGCCTAGCCCCCATTAACATTCTGAATAAAATACTACTGACCTATGGTAACATTCGTTTCCGCAAATAACTGCTGAAAGTAGTTCTCCCAAAAGTCAGACCGCCCCGTACTTGAGACGCTGTCCGTTAAGTCCTTAAGCGTACTGAAGGATACTGAATAGTTGTCGTCCTCTTCTTGATCTGGGTCGGTATAATTAAGGACTAACTGAAAAGGATTGTGTAGTAATTAGAACCGGAAAACATGGAATTAGGCTAAGAATACCCTTCAATCAATCGTTTTTATTATCGGGTTTTGTTTTATACGAAGAGACGGGTATACCCGAAAGCAAGATAATCTGATAATTAAATGTTTGTTCATGGATCAATCGAGCTTAAGCTTCTCATAACAAGGTGAAAGAAGATAAAGCAATCTCAAAGGATGCCAAGAGATATTTCTGTATTTTTTCCCTGTTAGGCGACATTTCATCATCTAAAGCAGTGCTTAGGCAGCGGACCCCTGGGGATTATACCTGAACCATTTAACAATAATGGGTAATTATACATTTATCTCACAATCACAGAATTCTTCAACAGTATAAGCACTCATTGGATTTTTCAGTTCCATTCGAAACCTATGAAAAACAAGCATTATAATCCTGACTGGAGGGTACAGCCTCATTGCCATAGTTATACAGGGTGTAAACGTTATGCTAGTCATTATTTAAATGGATGATGGAGGGGGTTAAAAGTTAGTTAGTAAATCTATATTTCTGGTATTATGGGAGAGAGCACCTTAACGAGTTCTTAACTCAGTAAAGTGTGCTTTTACCCATAACAAGCAGCGCGAACAGTCAAGATGTATAACATCTTAAACTGACTACTACAAGAATCATCTGTATTTGAGATTCTTAGTCCCGTTTTTGTCGTCGAAATTTTATTTGCCAATTGGTCCAGTGCTTTGAGATAAACCCATATAAGCGAGCCTTCTAATCTCCTCTTTTGTCAAAAATTAGATTTTTCTAAAGTAGTTATTTATGCTAAGAAGTTTTCTGCTCAATTGCTCTATGTTATCTCTGAATATTAAGCCAGAATCCATTGTAATACCTAAGAATCTGATTACTTGTGACTCCGCAATTTCACAATAGTTGTCTTCCGGGTGTTCAGTGTTAGAGAGTTTGTATTGAACCAGAGCTTAACTCTATTAATTTCATCTTTAACTGTTACTTCTGAGTTGGTGATATAAAATACAGTGCCATCAAGATATTGTATGGTCTTAAATATATGTTATAAACAGGATGGGGCCCAATCTGTATCACTGCGGAATTCCCATCCGCGAAAGAGTCCATCCCACATGTTTATATTGGACGGTTTGTCGCCAAAATTGCGTAGTTTCAGTGGATACCTTTGACTCATTTGTCTACCAATACCTACCCAAGTGGCAGCATTCTATCAACATAGTAATAATACTTACCGGTGGAAACACCTACTTTCATTAGACTTGTTCCGCCTTTGCAAATTATGTAAAAGGTGCCACGTTTTGGAATCGTCTAACGTCTTAATTATCTCATACACTCGCATTTTTGAAAAATAATACTAAAAATGGGGATTTAAAGACTGAACTGGCAAAAGATTGACTTGTGTCAAGTAGACTTTGATCCTCACTACAGACTATGAGAATTGGCTGATTCTATCTAGTCTGAGTTCGTTGATCTGTAGAGATGAGATTGATGGGCAAAGGCAAGACTGCTCCGCTTTTTTTCTTACTATTTATCAAGAGAATTAGCCGAGACATGACTTTTCTATCAAACAAGTAATTAGGAATTCAGCTTCTCAAGCAGTAATAGATCCACGCCAACTTTTTGTTAGATCCTCGTTTCCATGAATTGGACACCTGGAGGCAGAACAACCCCCTAGCTGCTGCCTAATGTTCATACAAAAATATAGAAGTATTGCGTTTTTCTCTCCAAAAAGCAGCAGTAATCGGCTTCCCCCTACCCCTACAGTTCAACTACCTCCTCCAAATCCAAGTCTTCATTTCTAAATAAGTGGATCAGAACCATTACTACATACACTCTATATAACAGCTATGGTTGGCTATCAAAAAAAAATTATCCAGTTATTAATACCTCTTGAACAACATCTGTCACATTTAAAATCACAGAAGCAGCTTCATCAATAATGTTATCGTCTGGTGTTTCGCCTGTCACATTGACAGCAATTTGTTTCAAGATGTACTTAATAACGTTTCTGTTTGCCTCCTCTTCTAAAGTGTCATGAACACTGCTGCCTTCACTTCGTGTTTTTCTTCTTATGCTGTTCTTCGACCTCTTTTTCTGAACAGGGCTACAACAGGAATATTTGTATAATGTGTATATCGTTTTGAGGCTTCACAAAAAAAATTTAAAAAAGACAAAATTTGAGTGTTTGGATTTATACGTCATTAAACTTATAAAAAATATCTGAAGACTTAAATAAAATATGAGGGATGTCTTTTAAGTTTTGCATATGGAAATAAAACAACACGGTGGGTAGTTTTAAATGACTTTATTGTTTTCCGAAGTATTCTCCACGAAGATTAATACACATTTGCATGCGCTCGAATCAATTTTCGGAGTACTTATTCCACTCCTTTGCTGACAGATCCAAAACGGCATTTTTGAATGCGTCAACTGCTTCTTCTGGTGACTAGAACCTTTGACCACGCAGTCTGTTTTTAATTTTCGGGAAAGTAAGAAATCGTTAGGACTTAGATCGGGACTATTTGGAGGATGGTCCAATAATTCCACGTTTTCTTCCGTTAAATACTGCCTGGTTTTTTGGGCTGTGTGCGAGCTTGCATTGTCTTGGTGGAGGATGATTCTTCTTTCGGGGTTGATTTTTCGAAGCTCGGTGATGACTTTTGGCAAACAAATGGTGGTATACCAATCCGCAGTAACAGTTCTTTGCTCATTAAAAGGAATTGTTGCAATATGACCCGCTTTTGACACAAATGTCGCAACCACCTTTATCGAAACACTTCGAGAACGGATGACTTTTGTTGGCTTTTCTTCACCTTGGAACACGCAAACAGCCGACTGTCTTCTGGTTCATAACAGTAAATCCAACATTCATCACCACTAACAATGCTGTACACATTTTTTGGGTTTCCCTGGCTGCTTTCTGCTCTTCAGTCAACAGGTGGGGTATCCAACGAGAAACTAATTTTCTTACTCCTAATTCTTGATGTAAAATTTTTACATTGAGGTCTTTGAGATCTTCAAGGACGCCTCAATCTTGCGATATGTCACATGTCTATCTTCAATGATGAGTTTGCGCACAGCATCGACCTTTTCCTGAGTGACTGCCATTTTTGGCGCACCCACCCTGGGATCGTCGCTAAGACTCCCCCTCCACGATTGAATTCTCCATACCAACGGGAAATTGTTGACTGGTGTGGCGCTTCGTTGCTGAAAACAGACATTAACTCAACAAGGCATTCTTGTTGCGATAATTGTCTCTGAAAGTTGTAATAAATTATGGCCCGAAAATGTTCTCGGTTGAGTTCCATTTTTCTAATGACTTGGTGACACTTAAAAATTGAGAACACTACACGTAATGTTGTGAAACATTGAATTTAAGTTTACTAAAGAGTGAGGTTAAGATTCAGTACTGACGTTCGATATGCGCGGCCTACTATGTTTCTATATGCAAAACTTAAAAGACATCCCTCGTATTGTCAAATGTGTCATATGCTGAATTAGGTCACCCTTGTGACTGAAACGTATACTACATTAAAGGAGAATTCCAATTATACGTATACGTGTGGCTTCATTGGCCAGACACATGGGGTATCCTCGACATGAAAACCACATAATAAGTTTCAGATTACATTAAGTAACTTGGCTTTAGGTGATACTGAAATCAAACGTGGTCTGAGAATAAAATTTCCCTTACCTTGGCAATGGACAGGTTTGGAAGATAACACCAACGTAAATTACATTTTCAGTTCCATTATACACATTAGCTCCAACGTCAACACCAATAAATACGTCCATCATAAAGATGCGTTTGATGTTGGTTTCCGATTGAACCCAATCGAAAACATATGCGTCTCTTTCTTCCTGGCTTAGGGTGATGTAATTTGGTATCAGAGGTAAGTTTGACTTTTTTAAGTAAGGGTAAATTGGAGTGAGACCAAGTTCGTCTGCAGTCTCTGGAGAGAAAAAATGGTTTATATCCTTCGATATGACTGAAGTAGTTCATTGAGGTTTTTCAAGCTTGAATGCGTACCTGCTGTTGTGGAAAATTTTCAGAAATTTATGTATAACTGATTTCTCGGGCAAAATGCGATTTTTGGATAAACTAGGTACCAGGATGTCGGTTTTTACTGAGTTCAATGAAAAGAAGGATTTGTTCAGGCTCACAGTCGAATGCAGTGTGTCAAATTACCACAGTGAAATGTATCGAAATTTGTTGGCTTATAGCAATTTTGCAATTTTGAGATTTGAAACATTTAAAGCAATAATAGATGTTATCAAAAATTCTTGCAAAAATGGGAATTCGCGACAGTTTTTTTATAGCCAAACAGTGTCCTAATTTATCGAGATATTGCATTTGTGCATAAGCTTCAACAGTTTGAAGTTAAAAGAATCTTCAAAAAATCTTGCACATCTATTATCTTGTTGAAGACATTCTTTTTAGCCTTTGGGGTGCATAAATCCGGAGCAGCCGCGTAAGCAGAAGCCTAAATACCGGTGAGCCGCAGCTGCTATAAAGAGCCTAAGGCACCTTGTTAATCCGATTTTTGAATTGCCTCGAAAAAGAGCGGTCGTACCGGCCAGTTCTGGATCTCCGAAGTTCGACACGGGTAGAATGAGAGGCGGATCTATCGTCACGCGGCAGCATCATGGAAGAAGCTCTAACGAACAAGGCGCATTGACATAGCGATAGAAGAGAGCCAGATTGCCGACCCCTGCGTGTCTACCGGAATTATGCTTGCAACTACGGGAACGAAGATTTTTGCATCTAAGAGAACATTTTCGTGAATTCAAACTTATATTTTGGGGTAAATCAGAAATGGTGAGATCAACGAAAGATTCTCATGTTTCTATTCAAAATAAGGCTTCGCGGCACTAAGAATTTTTGTGTGTTCATATCAGAAACCAGCGACGCGCCAGCGTACAAAAATTGCTTCACGTGCATCCAGGAGGAACGTGGAAAAAAATTAAAAATTGTACACCCAGGTCCTTTAGAAGTTTGAGAGTAAACATGACTAACAAATAATCTGCATATCATAACTTTTTTTTGCAAATCGGGTTCATAGATCACGACTCCGTAATCAGTTTTTAGCAGAGATTAACAGAAAACCTCTACTGGCTAATTTTTCTACTTCGTGAGACTTAGAGGTACGAGGGAAGGAAATTTTGTATTACGATATTGGGAAAATTTTAAAGAAAATCTGGTATTTTATGGTTTAGGCCCGTATTTTCAGTCGTTCCTACAATTGTAGGGCGCTTTTATGGCCTCCTTGATTGTCATAGTTTTCTACTTTTCCGTGTCAGCGCTCTATTTTGAGGTTATGTCACAAATATCTTTTTGCATCAAATTGTGCCTGCTTTTGAGTTATATGATGTTTTATCAGCCTGAAATTTCCTACAATTTAAAAAGAAAACATATCTTCACAATAGAGGAGCGCTGACGCTGACATGGGACAGGTGCAATCTAGAAATTTTTGAAGGAGAGAAAGGAGTATGACAATCAAGGAGGTCATAAACGCGCCCTACAATAATTGTAGGAACGAATGACGATACGGGCCTTAGGTATATGAGTGTTATTAAGTTAAAAAAATACTTATGAATTCAGGAAGTATTAATCAGAAATAACCCCTTTTAACGAGTATGCATGTTGTCAAGGTCAAAATAGAGTCAACATTTTTAAAACTATTTTTTTAAGCAGATTCCAGTTCTCTTTTCGCTCCGTAGTTTCTTTAGGTTTAGGAGTTATTGACAACCAAGTATTCTCTAAAGTTGATAGTTTTCGAAATATAAACGAATTAATATTCGTAAAAGTTTAATTTTTCTACTCAAAATAAAGCTTTGCGAGACTTATAGGCTCTGGGGAAAAAACAGAAATTTTGTAATACGATATTGAAAAACTTCTAAAGAGAATCTGATCTTTATGATCTAAATACATATGTATATGAGTTGAAAAGATACTTGAAAATACTTATTAGTCCAGGAAGTATCTTCGCATCTACGCAAAAAACTATTTGAACTTTTAGCAGAGTATTCATCAGAAGAAACCCATTTTAACGAATCGGCATGAGGCCAGTTATTCACAACGAAAAAGATTATTACGAACTATATACTATACGAAGAAATGTCCTGGGCTATATTTTTTTAGTTTTCCCGTTTTTCTAACCTTGATCTGTACAAGACTGATAGAACTCTCTGCTTTTGTTCAACGCCTCAGGCTGACCATCAACGTCCTCATCAGACGTAAGCACATTCAAAGAGGCGATAGCTACTCGTTCTGCGATGGTGGTGAAACTGGAGAACGTGCTCCACCAGCCGTGGTTAGGATGCTCTTCACCCCATTTACCACATGTGTATTCGTAGAAATTCTCGCATGGATCCACGGACAGATCCATCGAGTACTTGAGGTTCGAGGCTGTACGCAGACACTCGTCTGATGTGCATAGGTGGGGCTTGCGATGGATCAACGCGACATCTGAAAAAAATTAAGTTTTTCCAAAAAAGATAGATTTTACAAATAAGACAAGTACGTGAAACTAAGAAAAAAAGGAAAAAAAGTTGCGATGGCCGGGAATCGAACCCGGATCAACTGCTTGGAAGGCAACTATGCTGACCATTACACCACCATCGCACTTGTATGTTGATTTCGAGAGTGCGTAAGCACGCTACACCTATCATTGTACCGTTAATTGGACGTTAAACGTTGTTGCCAGATTGTAAAAATATAATTGAATCTGGGAATGTCTTTGAGCGTCCACAGCAATTGGAAAAATAAAATATTTAACAAATACAAAATATATCTACGAATTGAATCATAAGGAGACTTTAAACCTGAGTGTGCGAATTTTATTATTGACACATAATCGTAACACAAAAAGTGTTTTTCTTTACGTTGCTTAACAGAAGGTTTGAAGGGCATTTATGCATTTTATGTTGAATTATCACAAGATAAAAATAAATGCCAAACGTTTAGCTTTGCATATTTGTGACTATAATAAAATAACTATGCTAATATGAAACAAAATCATTTGCATTGCATGTTCTAAGAATGACCTCTAAGGCCCGTATCGTCAGTCGTCCCTACAATTATTGTAGGGCGCGTTTATGGCCTCCTTGATTGTCATACTCCTTTCTCACCTTTCTAAATTTCTAGATTACACTTGTCCCGTGTCAGCGTCAGCGCTCTACTATTGTGAAGATATGTTTTCCTTTTAAATTGTAGGAAATTTCAGGCTGATAAAACATGATATAACTCAAAAGCAAGCACAATTTGATGCAAATAGATGTTTGTGACATAACCTTAAAATAGAGCGCTGACACGGAGAAGTAGAAAATTATGACAATCAAGGAGGTCATAAACGCGCCCTACAATTGTAGGGACGTCTGATGATACGGGCCTAAGTAATAGCAAAAGATGTTCTAAGCATGTACATATATAACATATTGCACATCATTAGAATAATGTTCTAAGAATACATTACAATCCCCTATTAGTAGCAGATATCGTACATTATAGGAACGTGCAACAGCACGTTCTAAGAATATTCGCATTAGAACCTATAGCATATCCAATGAAAATGCTCAAAACTCGTCATAAAAAGATCTAATGGCTGCTTCAAGTATATCCATATGATCACACCATAGGCACGCGAACCTGTCAAGTCAAATTTCAAAACGAATAAGGATAAATTGAAAACCTAAGAAAACAACTTAACGATCATAATAAAATGTGTGTATGTATGATATGTATGTATTCACGTAAAGTCGTGCGATCTGTGACGCATATACCCAAAGACATTAATTATTTTTCTGACAGTTTCTGTATAAATAAACGATATTTATAATGAATATTGAAGACATGTCATCAACATAAATTACAAATATTCGCACAATGCAAAAGCCAGATGAACGTAGAAAGAAGGTTGTTTCCTCATTAAAGCCAGATTAAGCACCACAGATATCACAGATACCTATTGTGTACGACCTACCTGGCCATAATTCGTTGAACAACCCCTAGAAGTACCCAGAAGGTATGCACGACAAGAAAAAGTCCTAGGCATGCATTGCTGCAGCTTAAGCACTGTTGACTATGTAAACTAAAAGTGATGAAAGCTGCTTTTGCAGATATGGCCTATATCGCTTTTATCAGGATTCAGGGTACTAAAATAAGTTTTTTTGACGAGAAATATATAAATATATATTTCTTCTTGAATTTCTTTGGGTAGAAGGCAAAGTTTTGCATAAGTACACTCTTACAACTTGAACTCGAGCTTTCGATGGTCTAAGCCATCATCATCTGGAGCTAAAAAACAATTTTTGAAAAATAGCAACAATAAGCAATTAGGAGGAAAAAATACAATTGAGATTGTTGCTGAAATTATTCTTAAACGACAGTGAAAGGGAACAGATAGTCGACGTACAAAGAACTGGACTGATGAGGTTCGATTAGGACGGAATTATTTTAATTTTATTGAAAAATGGCAAACCATATAGCTATGTTTTTTTTTTACTTGTTTAACCACTGATTGATTTGGAAGTACTTGAAAATCTATCAACTACTGAAAAATGCTTCGAGATTTCATTTTTCCTGATAACCTCCACATTATCCAACACGATCCGGCTGACACTCTACAGTGGCATATGAACTGTGACATTGAAGTTATTGAATATATATATATATATATATATAGGCACAAAATACAATTAATTGTTAATTGGGAAGTTGGCAATTTTTTTTTTGCAATGACTACTGCTCACATATATATATATATATATATATATATATATAACAACAAGTAGGAAAATAATGGGCAAAATCCACAAAAAGGAGGAAAGTGGATTCCCCTCCAACTTCGTTTCCTCAGGTTACACCCGTATCCGGATGTGTGGGCATGTGTATCTACTTTTGTAGTTTCATATGTGCATTCATTTCGGGCCTGATGAAGCCAACCAGCGGAAATACGTATCGCTCGGGTTACCTATCCTATTTTCTGCTCGAATCCACTTTCCTCCTTTTTGCGGATTTTGCCCATTATTTTCCTACTTGTTGTTATATACTTTTCTCCGCATGATCATATTCTCTATATATATATATATATATCGAAAAAAAAAATTATTTTCTTGTTCACAGAAGTAGCGAATTATTTGAGAATACGGTAATTTACTATCAAAGTAGCTTTAAGTCTTGTAGAGTCATCATTTGTATCTAGTAAAGACCATGACATTGAAACAAACAATCTTGTAGAGAAAAACCGACATATCTCTAAGCTAACAATAGCTTTTTCCTCAAAGCTTCAAAGTTATTCAGTTAGAGAAACTGAATCCCAGGTCTCACAAATTATCATTAACTATAACGCACTCAAGATAGCCAAAAATCGACGTTGAACAGAAAATGAGGGACCTACAATCCCTTTAGCATCCCTGAAGCCTATTTTAATTAGGTATCTTCAGGCCATGGATTGACGTATTCTACGAGGGACGTCTTTTAAGTTTTGCATATAGAAACATAGTAGGCCGCGCGGATCGAACATCAGTACTGAATCTTAACCTCACTCCAAGGTGAAAAAAGCCAACAAAAGTAATCCGTTCTCGAAGTGTTTCGAAAAAGACGGTCGCCACATTTGAGTCCTAACGATTTCTTTAATTTCCCGAAAATTAAACACAGACTGCGTTTTCAAAGGTTCCAGTCTCCAAAAGAAGCAGTTGACGCATTCAAAAATGCCGTTTTGGATCTGCCAGCAAACGAGTGGAATAAGTGCTTCGAAAACTGGTTCGAGCACATGCAGATGTGTATTAATCTTGGTGGAGAATACTTTGTAAAAACAATAAAGTCATTTAAAACTACCTACCGTGTTGTTCCATATGCAAAACTTAAAAGACATCCTTTGTACTTTAAGATATCCAGTTAGAATAGGCATAAGAGAGGCACCAAAAAGGGAATTGAAGTAGATTTCTAAATTCATCTATGTGATCTGCGTCTGATAAAAGGCACTCGTTTCATTCATATCCCTTTTTGGATGTAGGAATACATGGTTGCCTATCTTAAAGTAGAGTACGTTAATCAATGGCTAAAACCAGCGATTTCGCGTTGGCTTTAATCAACGGTAATAGCCATGGAAACTTTCGAAACTTCATTAATGTTTGTAATCCTGTTACGTATATGCAACAGTTTAGCATACTAACAAGTATTTGTCATGCTTGAAAATATTTATATTTATATCCTGGATAAACTTAAATACAATGGAGATTATTCTAGTATACAACCACACTTTTGTATGCAGTGCACACTTGAGGTCCCTAATACCATAAGTGTTGAATGAATTATTTTTTTATAAGCAGTGAGAACATTTTAAGCGTGATAGAATTTTAAACACAATAAGCCTTGTGGTTTTTGGTGAGCACATCATATTCACAATGGGTTTATACTTACATAATACAATTACAACTATCAAACATATCAACAGAATTATTGCTACAGTTAAGAAAATGACGGAAAGCGTCCTGTAGAATCCTGGCTTTTTTAATCTGGAATATATGCGATTATTGAAACATTATCTTGAATAAAAGAATGCGTGTTCTTACACTTTGCCTCTGGAGCTTACTTCTACTAAGTAGTCGTTTGGATTGGTTGTCCTACTCGCATATCCTATAACCAAATAGAAATACTATTTTTTCATGTATCAAGAGTGTAAAGTAGGCATTTACGACGCGCATAGTGAAATTGGAACCCAATGCCCGATTACTATACATAAAACAATTTGTCCACTACTGAGCTTATAGCAAAACAAAAAACTGGAGTAGTCTTTAAAGGGGAATAAATATGCGCATGGGTCAATTAGCGAGCGCTAAAGTTTTTGTACCTTAGTATACCGTACAGAAATGCGTTGGCTGAAAAAAATGGAGCTTAACGCGCTAAAACTCTGAAGAATAATATACCGTCTAGTTGTAGATATAATTATATTAACTCGGTTCGTGAGCCCACCCTCGCCGGGATGCCATATCGATTTCGCCAGCATCCGTAGCAAAACAAGCCTACTGAAATACATGGCAACTCCCTGACCTTGCGATTAGTGCCAACGGACATGGAAATTTTGGCTGCTTTATATTCCAATATAATAGCTTGACTACGGATGCTGGCGATGTCAACATGAAAGGTAAATTTTGCAAAAACTTGCTTTAAGCAACAGAATACGACTTGAGTGAAACCAAAGTTACAAGCTACATGTAGTGAACAGAAAGCAAAAAGAAATTTCTAATTATAAAGTGAGGTCCGGATGCCGCGAGGGTCAATAACCCGAAAATCTTCACAAAACCATTTGATTTACGATATAAAAAATTGAGGTATACCAAGTGTTTTAAATTCGACCCTCACCATTAGCATCTCGGAAACGGTAAGAGATACGAAGTCGCTTAAATGAGCGGAAATTTGCGTATTTAGGCAACTAACAAAATGCCGCTTGGTAAGTTTGAAAAGTCAGTACTCCCGCAGAGAGACAGAAAAACCGAATTTTCAAAAAATAGCTTCAGTTTTTTCCTGATTTTATTTGTAGTGGGATTTAAAAAATAAATTGCACATTAATATTGCCACTTTTTCTCCTCTACATGGCATAATCAGAATTTCAATATGACGTGTCGTCTATTGTCCTCCAGCATCAACTTTACTTTTTCTATCGGACGCCATATTGGATTTTTGCAGAGATGAATAGAGTTGTTGATTCTCATTCCAAAAATGTATAACTTGTCATGCATTGACATTGCAAAACCTTAGTTATTCAAAAAAACAGAATATCCTAAGTAGGGCTTGAAATTATCAGTCATTTGTTTCCTATACCAGATTTATTACAAAATCATTTTTATTTTTTCATGACTTTATTTGAGATGTGATATAAATTGTCTGTTGTCGGTGCCACGTTTTCCCGTCTACAAGATGACATAGTCAGATTTTCAATTCAAGGTTGCTTCTTTCAACTTCCATCACCAACTTTGTTTTTTCATATGGACGCTATATTAGAATTGTGTAAATTTAAATACTACCAAGAAAAATACTATTTTAATTAAATATGTGAAGTTTATTGTGACATAAATAAATCTCTCAACTTCCATCATCAACTTTGTTTTTTCATGTGGACGCTATATTAGAATTGTGTACATTTAAATACTACTAAGAAAAATATTACTTTAAATGAATATGTAAAGTTTATTGTGACATAAATAAATGTTATTCTATTCACAACTAAACGCAGAATCAAAAATTGTGTTCGACTGCGCAAAATTTCAATAGAAAGTCCATAAGAAAAAACAAAGTTGAGGATGCTAATGTGCAATTTATTTTAAAATCCCATTTCAAATAATACCAGGAAATATACAACGATTTTTCAATAATTCCGTTAAATGAAAAAAGTGACTCGATTTATCTGATGCAAAAATCCAATATGGGGTTAATTAGAAAAAAAAAAGTTGATGCTGGAGAACAAAAGGCAGAACGTCATATCGAAATTCTAACTATATCATCTTCTAGAGATAAAAAAGTAACAATGTTAATGTGCCGTTTATTTTGAAATCTCGATATGAATGAGGTTTGGAAACATTCGGTTTTTTCTGTCTCGCTCCGAAACTAATTTGTATAAATACGGAGTTTTTCTCTCATCACTCCGTATCTACAAATTTGAAATACCTAGTATATAGATGCATAATGGACAACAGAAAAGGGCTGTATTTGATACGGATATTAAAATAATCATTTAGCACCTCAAAACCTTTTGTCACGTGATGAAAGTGGTCAAAAACGAGGTTATAAAAAATAGCTGGATGCAAGGATGATCCAAGACCATTAACATAAGGAGTGTAGTTTAATCTTTCCGACTGTGCTCTACCTATCCCGAAAAACATTAAGGGTGGAAAATACCAAGCGGGAGTATACAAGCCTAAATTAGTGTTTTGCTGAAAATCTATAAAATAGATGACTCCCGGTTTTGTTTATATATGAATGATGAGATGTCATTCTAAAATTGAAACTGTACGCTTTTACTACACTTGTTTACTGAACCAATGAACTTACCAATTTCATATATTTCCAGCAAAAAACTAATTTAGTTTTGAACACTCTCAGTTGGTGCTCACCACCTTAAGACACTTCCAGTGGTCTGAGCACACTGAGCTTGAGAACGAATTGATACTAAACAAACACAAACTTTATCACTTTTCAGATGTAAGAATTTGGAAATAAAAGTTTTTCTATGAATGATGTATTGGACATCTGAGAAAATTAGGTCTTTCATTTCTCAAAAATAAATGCTTTTATTTAGCTCGCACTTTAGTTAAAAATTGAAAGTCCACCAAACAGGCCTATCAACGGATCATTAATCAATCGAACCGCATACGTACTTGTGATAACAAATGGACCATCCGGATTTCCCCCACCCCCCACATCCGGCTGATACGCATAGTTATCCATAACTATCACCACTTTGAAGGGGGTAACTACCTCCTATGTCTATCCTGCACGTCACATGTGAACATTGCGCTGTCCATCGCTACTGACCGACCGATCCATTGTGTGTCACTTAAAACATTTTCCTGGTTTTTCGCTCGATAGACGATTGAAAACGCAGATCGATTCATGTCCACGATACATGTGTGTTACAAAACATCGATTTGATGAATACCTGCTCTGGGCTCGCTTATTGTAATGCATACAAACGATGTTTATTGTACACTTGAAGTGACTTTGAACTGTTTAAATATTCAAACACGATCGGTTTCCGGCGAATAATTGGAAAAGGATATATAGGCCAGTGGGGGATTGGCAAAATGATTGTATAATGCAGCGTTTATTTTGTTAATTTTCCGGCATTGAATTCCAATTTCCATTCATCACTTGTAACGCACCTCTGTCATCGTATTCGATTCGTGCAATTACGTCAGTGGTATGCTGGAAGTAACCTTCGGACATAAGACCGTAAGACGGGTGATCTTGTCGCTCGACATCAACAAAGCTTCTGGTACGGGCCTGATTCCTGCCATGGTACTGAAGAGATGTGCAGCGGAACTTTCTCCATTTCTTTCGCGTCTTTTCCAGGTATCTAATGCCCTCTCCAGACTCACGCGAGGATCGCGCGCGAAGCTGCGAACTACCCGCGACCCATGAGTAAGGATCCCATTCGCGTATTCTTCGCGGCTTCACGTCGCGTTCGCGCGTTGTTACTGTTTGTTGTCGGTTTTTTGTCCCGCGACAAAGGGTTCTCAAGGCGCGAACATAACTATTCTCCTCATTAATGTTAGCTTGCTTTTTAAACTATGGTCCAAAAATGTTTCCTTACACAAACTCGGGGTGTTGAAGTTTTAGGAAAAAATGGAAATTAATTAATACTTTCAGAACCGCTTCAGATAATTCACTGATATTTAGTACGTAGTGAAAGTTAAAAGTTGCATATTTTCAAAAATAATTTCTAGCTTTAACAGTGGCGTGCGTACGGGTATTGACTTCGATATTTTTTAAGAAAAAAAATGATACGCCAATGGTTTTCTTCCAAATAAATATTATTTTTGATTCCCCGTTCAATTTAAAACAAATGATCTGTCTTGAGTTGCTTTTTTCGATGCGCCATTTTTGAGTAAAAAAATAAAAACCGTTCTATTATAATTATTATTAATTTAATTGGAAAAATTAAACACATTAGGGGTAATGAACAACAACAACTGACAACATAAACATAACATTAAAACCAACGAAATGATTACAAAAATTGTTGAAAATGGCCCCCTTCACTTAGTATGCATGCTTCCGCCCTCCTTCTCACTGATTCTCATTTTCTGTTGCAAAAGAATGCGATTTCCCTTTTTAAAGCTGTGGTGTTTTTTTTTTCAGATGCAAACGCTATAAGTGTTTTGATAAGATTGGTTTTGGAGAACGTCAAATCATTCTAGATAAGTTTAATTCACTTTCTTCCAAAGATGTACAAGCTAGTTATCTAGCGGGTCTCATTTCATTCAACAACGTAAAGCAAAGAAGACCGAGTTGGACTCATAACAACGAGGATGATGACGATGGGCCTTCATTTGATCATTATGTTGCTTTTTACTACAAAGTTAGAACAGCTGGACAAGAAAAGGCTGTATGTCACACTGCATTTTTGAATTTACATGGGATTTCAAGAGGTCGGCTTAGAAGAATTCAAGACTCTTTTAAGGTTTCCAGTTTACCTCCTTATGATGCACGTGGAAGGCATACTAACAGACCATCTAAAACACCCAATGAAATATTAAATTTAATAAGACTGCATATGAAGTCTTTTAGAGGAAGACAATCACATTATTCACGGCGAGATAATCCGGAAAAAAGATATTTGCCTGAAGAATTGAGTGTAAGCAAAATGCATAAATTATTTCTGTACGAAGTTAAAGTTAATCTCTCCTATCTTGTTTATTACCAAGTTTTTAAAAATGAACTCAATATTTCGTTTCGTATTCCTAGAACAGACACTTGCGCTAAGTGTCATGAACTAATATTAAAAATAAACTCTGCCGTTGTTAATGACATAAAATACCAACTTATTAATGAAAAAGATCCCCATTTGAGATAAGCAGAAAAGTTCAGGCAAATAAAGAACCATTACAAAGTAGAGGCGAGGGCCGGTAATGCATGGCGATATCTTTTGATTTCCAACAAAATCTACCTCTACCTCACATTAAAACTAGTGACGTCTTTTACAAAAGTCAGCTTTGGTATTATGTCTTTGGAATCCATGACCTAGCAGACGATTCAGCTACTATGTACGTCTATACAGAGGATGTGGCAAGAAAAAGCGCCAGTGATGTCACATCAATGATTTTACACTACTTGAACAATAAGGATCTAACACACAGTCATTTAGTCATTTTTAGCGACGGGTGCTCCGTAATATGAGTCTAAATATGTTCTTCAACATCCAAAACGCATGCTCTTCGTACTTTCTTAAAACTCCCCGATCAAAGCTAGGTCTTCGGGAAGCACGCATTATAGAAATATCCTCAGTCTGCATATGTTAAAACTAAAAATACTTATTCAGGATCATATGTGCTGTTCGAAATAACAAAGCTTTAGAGCTAAAAGCGTTGTATGAAAAATCACTACCACTAAACAGTGTCAAAATACAACATATAAGAGATCTGTCAGCATTTCTGAAGAAACCAGCTAGTGTTGCATTTTATCAAAAATTTAATGTCACCGAATCAGCCACTAATATCGATCTCGATGAGGATGATAATAGTGACGGGCTGTTTAATATTGTGTAAAATATGTATATTTATCTTCTGAAGAGCTTTTAAATTCATTTGTAAATTTAAATAAAGTGTCAGTTGCAGTTTTTGTACTTTTTATTTTTAATTTTCAAAACAAAAACAGCCAATGTCAGACATTTCATCCGAATTTACAAAAAAAACGGAGTTTCTATAACATCCAAATATATCTCCAAATCAGTAAGATACAGGTATATTTACTTACAGGGCACAAAAAAGTATAACTTTAGCCATATCGGCTTAAAGAGGTTTTTTTAATACCCTGAAAATATTGAATATCTGACATTGGCTGTTTTTGAAAAAACCCTTCTTATTACTTTAATTTTCTCGGACAATAGAACGGTTCTTATTTTTTTACTCAAAAATGGTGCACAACGACTCCCGGCACTCGCTCTGAGGCAACTGAGCCACCAGCGAATGGGGAGCCTAGTCATGTTCGCCTTGCGAACCCTTTGTCGCGGGACAAAAAAACCGACAACAAACGGGAACAACGCGCGAACGCGACGTGAAGCCGCGAATGGGATCCACACCCATGGGTCGCGGGTAGTTCACGGCTTCGCGCGGGAGTCTGGAGAGGGCACGGGTACAGTTTTCGGTATTCGCACCGCGACCGCGCGGCGACCCGCGCCGCAATCTCACGCCGTGATCCGCGCGTGAGTGTGGAAAGGGTATAAGGATCCCATTCAAGTATTCTTCGCGGCTTCACGTCGCGTTCGCGCGTTGTTCCCGTTTGTTGTCGGTTTTTTGTCCCGCGACAAAGGGGATCGCAAGGCGCGAAAATGACTAGGCTCCTCATTCGCTGGTGGCTCAGTTGCCTCAGACCGAGTGCCGGGAGTGGTTGTGTTTTTCCCACTCCTTTTCAATTGTTTTAATTTTACGTATATATGCATAATTATAAATTGCTAAAGCGCAAAGTAGCCCTGCAGCAGCAGTAGGAATTTCACCGTCCATACTCGTCAAGAGCGCGAACTATACTGTGAAGCAGGCGCGTACATCTGCGACTGTAGGGACAGTTTTCGGGATTCGCACCGCGATTTCATGCTGTAATCCGCGCGTGAGTCTGGAGCGGGTATAACGAATCCGAAGATTCGTTCTGTGACGGACCTAAAGATTAACACTGCTTGGAGACTCACGCATGCCAATGAGCTGCGTTCCATGATGCCGCCACGCGATGTGCCTGCCAGATAGATTTCCCTGACTTCAGCCTTTAAACTATCCGATACAACCGCTGCTTTGCCCCTAGGGTTACGAGATGGTGGAAGAATCTACCTGAGGAGTCTTTTCCCAGATCTACTAACCTACAAGAATCGTACTAACAAAGTTTCTATGGGCTCCTCGTAATAGCCGCGGTGCCCTGGTATTTAGGCTTCTAGGATTAAAGAAAATAGTAAAACTAATATGTCCAGTATAAAAAATTGCAGATTCTTGTGTAGGGTGCATGTTGCGCAGCATGTATCTACAGCTTGCTTAAGTGGAATCACACCTGGACGAGTTTATGTTGCAGACTATCAGAACGTCTGCAATGATTTGCTTATCATGCGTCCTATATCGAATACAGTGCCGGGCACATGTTGCAAACTGCAACGTCTACTGGCGTACCTGGAAAAAAGTTCTGTGGCCACTGATGAGTGGGGTGGCATCAGTAATTGAAAATGGAAGAGCAGTGAAAGGGGTCAAAAACATATGGTGGTCAAGCTACACCATGCTATATTGTGAAAGGAAATATGTATTAGTCCGTGAGATTCTGAGGGACCCTTGATCATCAAAGCCCCCCTCTGAATTCGCCAGTGGAAACATCCATAGTGCAAGTCGAGCTACATGTTGTGCACCGCAGTAGCTTGGCGCATTTTTTATAAAGCGCTTGTACCGAAACATGTCATAAGCTTCACATTCCTGGCACATGTGCCGCCATAAGACGCGTTGCGTGTTGCAGACTGCAAATTTGTTGCAATTTAAGTTTATGTACCTTCATATAAACATATTTCAGTGTTAACTACGACTATGGTAACAGGACGTTTTGTGTTTACAGATAATAAACGTTATCACTTTTCAACCATCAATAAGATTCACGCAATGACTGTCGTAATTGAGCATACCTAGTCAGCTAATGTTTTTTTATCTGATTGCCTGGGTACTGATGATAGCGTTCAACCTATAAATGGGTCAGACAGAGTATTGCTCCTGATGTTTATTTTATGCTTTTTATTTCCAGTTCTAGACTATTATTCAACTTCCTACAATACAAACACTTGCTTTCTATTGATTTCAGATTAATCCAGAATAAAAGTAATTGTGAGCTTTATAATATAAATAAAAATTTATTTTAATCGGCTCACGAATCGAACTTTTTGAGCAGAGAATATGCATAGGCCGTCTTCTTAAGAAAATTCGTCGGAAATGATGTCTTTGACCAAAAACTACAGCGTCTCAAAAAATAATACAAAATGTCTATGCGTTATTAAAAAAATAGATTCCGAAATTATTACGTGGCTCCTCGTGAGAATTCAGTTGGACATTAAGATTTGCATAATTAGCATGATTTTGTGTACAATTTTGAAGATTTTTAGGCATTAGTCCCCCCTGAGAAAACTTGCTACCGCCGCTCTTTAAAAATGTTTGGGACAGGTACACTTTCACAAAAAGTTTTCTCTCGCCGATGATCGCTCTCTCCTGAGAAAAATTGCTGGGAGCGCTCGTGACCTTGAATTATGTGAGTAAATTTGGAGACCTTCATAAATTGTTTAATTTCTTATCTAAAAATAGTCACCAAGGGTTTTGCGTACAGAAGCATTAGGCAGCTGAAGCCGTGAAAATATAAAATTTGGAATGGTTTTTGTACTGTCCTATTGCTAATAATTAATACCTACTTGAGTTCACTGATTCCAAAAAGCATAGCAGCAGACCATACAAAAAAACTGCTGACAACAAACCGACAAACAGACTGAGATTCCGTTTAAATTTATAAATTATTGTATATATTCGTAATGTAGAAGTTAAACAACTAATAAAGCCCAATTTCAAAAATTTTAGTCACCACCCTCTCATGGCAAAGGAAAATCACTTTGGATATTTGGCAACGCTGTAAAAGAGAAGAAACGTCTTTAATCATTGTTGAAATGGTTTACTCTGAGAGCCACAGCTAGATTTGTTTACCTATTATAATTATAGAAAAATTGTTATCTCTGGAAGTTTAGCAATACAGGCACCTCTAGTCTAACTAACAAGGTTTTTTTAGTCTGGTTCTGTCAAAAAGTGTAAAATATAAGCTTTATTCGGACTGTTTGCTTTACCAAACATCCAACCAGCTCTTGGACTATTGTGATCCTTACCCTCTCCCCTACAAACAAGCCGCTGATTCCGAGAATTTGAAGTTCACCTGACCACCTGACCTCCATATCCCACTCTGATTGGCCCTAATCTACAATATGACATAAGGAAATGACCGTTGAAGACGGTTTGTCAGCTGTTCCATCTTCCCATAATCCTCATTCCCGCGTTTGTACTTTACGTTTTCAGAGTAGGTCTGTACATTTTCTAAATTTTCGGTTCGAAATACACTTTCCATAACGGGAGTGGTCTAATTAAGGGGTCTAATCACTGTTCAGCAGAACAGTGAGTAGAATAAGCTAGGTTCTTATAGTGAAATGGAAGTAAATTGTCGCGAAAACAAGGAAAATCATGAGCAGTCGTCCAAATTCGCGATGGCTGCCAACCCGACCAAGAGGGTTGGTTTGAACCAACGGACTGGTACTATTGCAGAGACTAGTAAACAGGTAAGGTAATTGTGAAACTATTAAGTTATACATCGCTCTTTAACAACAGCATTGGTTTTCCCTGTTCTTAAAGCAGGAATTAAAACCAAGCGGAATGTTGTGCTGATTATCACAGATTCATATCCTGATAAGCTTGTAATGTACTGACTATTCTATAGTGCCACTTTTTAAGTTTGCTAGAGTACATTGTTAGGCCTATGTTTTACATTTGAATTCTGTTATGAGCTGCTTTCCAGTGACCCAATTGAGTTACTCTTGAGTGACTCAATATCGTTCCACTGCACTTTGTATTCCCTTACACACTTCTAGAGCAGTTTGGTAGCATATCATTCTCAAACCAGAAACCACTGGAAAGCAGCTATGCTCTGAGTCTAGAGTCAGCAGGTATGAACATCCATTCATTCTTGGTACATTGAGGAATTATGTATATGTATATATGTGTATATAAAAGCAATATTGATATCAAAAGTGTGGCCAGATCTGTTTAACATAGAATGTGTTCTTCCTTTCTTCGTACGCCTTGTATAGTTTTTAAAAGTTGAAAGCATAATCTGTACATGTATGTTATACTGCGAATGCCTGGGTTGCTCTATGTTATGCATCATATGTATACATTTTCTGTCTACCTCATTGATTTTGACATATGTAATTTCATATTATTCGCTTATTTGGGTGCTCCCCTCCAGTGGTTGAGTAGAGTAGCTGTCAGCTAGATTTCGCCTCTGGTATTATATATATTTTTTTATTATACTGAATTTTATTTGAAAATAAAAGACGGTTTATTATTAAAAGTGCGCGCTGGTTGAGCCGAGACCGAAGAAATCGCGTCGTTTCTAGTTGAAAAAGAAGGTAATGCTCATGGTTTTCATGGATTACTTTAGCCTGGTACATAGTGAATTCTTGTCAGAAGGTCAGACTGTCGACAAGGAGTAATATTTAATTCACCTGATTTGGCCCCCTGTTCAATCGAATCCACTGAGGCGAGCCTGTTTCAGCAGCCAAGAGAAGATAATGGAAAAATCAAAGATGGCCCTAATAGAGATACTAAACATAGAGTTTGAAAAATGTTTCCAGGACTGGATCAACCATTGGCATAAGTTCATCACAGTCAATGGGGACTACTTTGAATGGAATAGTATCGATGTTGAACAATAAACTTGTATTGTATATTTTTTTAATAAATTCCGGGAACTTTTTGATCAAGGTGGTATATTCGTAATCTAATGTTGCACTCTCACTGAAGAGAGGCATCACAAAGGGAACAGGAACAACTTTGTCATTTGCACATGTTAAATCTGATACTTCACTTCCTTTTGTATCACACCAGTCTGTGGGTAGTGTTTTGTCATGTGTGTGATCTGATGTGCACTCATTGAAGGGAAAAGAAGCAATTTGTGTCATGTAATGATGTCACTTGACAACTCTTGATTTTGATTGTTTGAAAATCCACCCTCAGTAATACTTGAATGATCCATATTTTTTTACAGCCTTTGGGTGCTTCCAACCAACTGAATGTCAATGTGGATTGTAAAATAAAAAGTAAAAATGAAAACGGTTGTGCTGTCAAGAAGGAGAACCAAAAGAATTTGGACAATCCTATTGTCCCAGTGGCTCAGTTTGAGGCATTTAAGGTATATGAAGATGATAGCTTTGATGAAAGGATGGCTAGGATTGATGAAAAACTCAAACAAATGGCTAAGAAGAATGGCATTATTGATGCTTACAAAGGTATAGTATGAAAAAATTACATACTGTCAGGGAGAGAAATAAGAAAAATTCACTGAAGCAGGCTTAATCTGGGAAATACAAGTTTGTTGGATGAGTTCTATTTCAGTTTCCACAATTTTCACAAAAATAGTAGCTCCTATTTTATTTATGCATTGATGCTTTTTCTTCAAATGACTTTTATCAATGACTATATATTATGGATCTTCAAAAATATTAGTTGTTTTTCTGCTTGGCTTCTTCCGAATTTGACGGTAGTCAATCTCAAAATTGTTCTGAAATCACAGGCACCAACTGCACAGAATCAGAGTGGTTCTGTAATACTCTTAATTCCCTATAATAAACCCAACAAGATTATAGAATGTGCAGTATTTGTAAAATAAAGGCTTTATTGTAGGGTAGATTAGAGAAAAATACTCAGTGAAAGTCAGTGAACTGTCAGGTAATCTAGTTTTGTACCTAGAGTGGCCACTCTGGAAACTTGCTATTTGTTTTGTCTATGCTCTGAAAAATATTCTGATGTGGATTTTTTACATAATCTTCTTCAGGAAGGACCGCTTTCAATGAATCTGCATGTTGCCAGTCCCAAAAATCTGTCAAAGATTATTTGAACAATTTTTTTAACAAATACCAAAAATTGTTTTTTGTTTTGCTCCAGTTAAAGTCTATTTGGGTTTTTTAGAACATTATGAACAAAAAAGGTGCTTTAGAACTTTTCTCTAAAGCTGATAGTTTTCAAAATATGAGATTTGATATTTGAATATGTGTAAATAATGCCATTTTCAACCCCTGAAACAATGTGAAAAGAAGAAAATATCATTGTTGTCAAAGTTCCTATATATTCTTCTAACATCGATTAACAATTGCGAGAGAGATGCGGCAATATATACGTTGAGCGCGCGCTTGACTAACAGGTAAATAAATTATAATTTAAAAAGCAAAACAAAAAACGCTGTGTAATAGCAAATTGAACAAAACAGGAAAAAACAATTATCAAGTGTAGATGAGTTTGTATTACTGTAATCGAAAGTCCATCAATTGAGTATTTTTATTTTCTTCATTTAGGTCAGTTTAAAATTTAAAGCGTTTTTGGTTTTTAGTTTTTTAAACTATAATTTATTTTCCGAATGTTTAGTCGCAAAATGACAACAACAGTACTTCTACTATCAAGAGATTCGATTTTTGGTATACTTTATATTTGACAAATCTGAATTCTAATTTTTTCGACTTTCAAAATTTCTAAAAAAATTTCAAATCATATTTTTTTACAATTTTCCGAATTTTCAAATAACGTTCCAAATTTAAAAAAAAATAAAGGATCTGTATTCAAAATTCTACAAAACTATTTAATTGACAGAAGTCAAAAAACAAAATTGGATCTAAATTATCAAGATCAAAAAATATTTCTGTTGGTATACCACAAGGTAGTAAACTAGGTCCACTACTATTTATTTTATACATTGACATTTGTAATATTTGCAGATGAAAATATAGAAAATATAGACACTGCTTTAAAAATGCTAAATTCTGACTTGGCAAAAATCTTAAATTGGTTATGGTAAATAAACTAAAATTGAAATACTTAAATGAAAATACTATCACAGTTAGGATAAACGGAGAAATAATTGAAAATGTCGTATCAATTAAATATTTAGGTATTTAGGGTGACTTCGAAGTTGAGTCATTTATTTTAACAGTGAGTAGATCTGATCAAAAGAAATGTTTTTTCCTTTACCATTTTTCTGGTAAAATTAAAGTAACAAAGTTATAGCCCTTTGGAAGTTTGAGTACCGCCCTGTCTCAATAATAATATCATGTGCTCCTGTTTGGCAACAACGGATATAATCCGCCTTATCGGTTCATCGCATCGGAAACAAAAAAGCGAAAGAATTTGGAACGATGTTTTTACAATTATTTTATTCAGTTGTATACATACAGTCAGTGTCAGTCGGTAACGCGTGTGAATAGTGGTGTCTGTTGCGTGGCTCAAACGAAATAAAAAATGGCACATGTTTATGCGGATCGGTTTCCCAATCGAGTGCAACCAACCCCTCGTGCCTTTGTTAATGTAGTACAACGGGCTCGTGAATCAGGTGACTTAAGACCTCACAGGGGACCTCACGATCAAATACAGGTCCGCACTGAAATACGTGTCGGGAGGATACTTTATAAAACAAGGTAAAATTTTTTTTTTTTATTTTTACACACATATTTTGGTTTATCTTCCTTCTACAATCATTATCTGAAAATTAATGACTCAACTTCAAAGTCACTCTGTATATTGATAGTAAACTAAAGTTTGAGGATCACTATGAATACATTATTTCAAAAATTCCCAAAAAAACCAATTACTTTTATAGGGCTTCTCATAGTCTTGGTACCTATTCCAAGAAAATAGTTTATAATACAATTATTCTACCGCATTATATTGTTCAACTATCTGGTTCACTGCCAATGAAGCTGTATTCTCATAATCTCTCAGTCTTGCAAAATAAAGCTATGAGAATAATATTGAGTAAAAATAAGTACACCAAAATAAAATCTATGTTACAAGAATTGCAGTGGTCGAATATAAATAATTTCATATCATATTTGGTTCTTATTTTTATATTTAAAATAAAAAATCATATTTTGCCAGAACGTTTAGAAGACTACATAGAATTGAATAATCATTACCACAATTATTATACAAGAGGAAATATAGATTTTCATTTACAAAATTGCAATAGTAATATAACTAGCAAATCAATATTTCAGAAACGATTGCTTTAATTTAATAAACTTATTAATGATATAAAGTCTACTTGTAATTTAAAGATATTTAAACGAAAATTAAAGGAATATTTCATGAACAATGAAAATTCTTAGAGATGCAAATTTTGTTTTTTTTTTCTGAATGTCTGTATGTTATGTAATTGTTGAGTTTTTTAGAAGAATGTAATTGTAGCAATCATCCTAACAAACAAACAAAAAATCAAAATCAGAATATTTTCTGACCCGATGCGAAGATACTACCTAGTCTACTTTAATGATACAAAATTTGTAATTGTTTCTAACATGGCTTTCAGGTACAGCTGAGGATAGATTCCTCTCAAAAACAGAAGCTGCAGCAATTATAAAAAAGAAACGAGAGGAGCAAGATGCTGCAAGAAAGAATCTTGAACTTTTGAGAAGTCAAGGAAGCAGTCCTATGAGTGTTGGAAAACCTAATGATGAAAACATGGCAGAAATGGATGATGACTCACTATTTTGGGGCAGAAAGACCGTCAAGGATGTATTCTTTGACATGGAAGAGTATAGAGAAATGATATACAAGTACTTGAGAGAACATGAGGTATTTGCAATCAAAATAATTTTTGATGTTTGATCTTAGAAATCATTCAAAGCATAAAAAACATTACCTGCCTTTGAAATTGCAGCATAGAAGAGAAATTTTGAAGTAACACTGACAATAAACTGTTCTTTATTACTACTGATATTCATTACCGATATGATTCTAAATAGGAACATTATTTTTTATTCAATTTTTTCTGCAGTTGAAACATCGTCCAAAATCAGGTTACATGAAGAAGCAACCTGATGTAACATCCAACATGAGAACTATACTAGTAGATTGGTTAGTTGAAGTAGCTGAGGAGTACAGATTAACTACTGAAACTCTATATCTGGCAGTGAATTTTATAGATAGATTCCTTAGCTACATGTCTGTTGTGAGGGCAAAGCTGCAATTAGTCGGAACAGCTGCAATGTTTTTAGCTTCGTAAGTATAACAAAACATTACAAGTTTAGTTAATTAGCTTAAGATAATTTACCCTAATAAATTTAAAAATGCTATTTAATTAATCTAAATTTTTCAAGGTTTTATACTCATTAATTACAGTTACTAAATTTAGTTAATTATATTAAGATAATATACCCTAATTAATTTAAATTTAAGAACGCTATTTTAAGCGTACTAAATTTAATCAACTTCTTAAATTACCTTAATCCAATTAACTAATTTTTAATTAATCTAAAGATTTTATACTCATTACTTACACGTACCAAATTTAATTAACCAAATTATGTTAACTAGATTAAGTTAATTTACAATAATTAATTTAAATTTAGAAACTACTTAATTTACTTTAATCTAATTAACTAATTTTTAATTAATCTACATTTCTGAAGGTTTTACACTCATTAATTACACGTACCAAATTTAGTTAATTAAACTTAGTACGTGTAAAAGTAGTATTAGTTAAAGTTGCTTTTACGTCTTTATGTAATCAACCCCAAACGCCATTTTTTATAGGAAATACGAGGAGATATACCCGCCCGCAATACGTGAATTCGTGTATATTACTGATGATACCTATACCAAAAAACAAGTGATTCGTATGGAACAGTTGATACTGAAAGTACTAGGTTTTGACTTATCTATACCAACACCATTGACCTTCATCACTGCCATCTGCTCCATGAACAAAATCAATGATAAAACAACATACCTTGCAATGGTGAGTAATAATTAGTAGGGGTGTACAGTACTTGCCCATTTTACTGAGCACCCGGTTTTACTGGGCTGTTAATTCCTGAGACTGAACGCAAAACTCACAACTTTTGTAAAACAAAGATTTACAGACCTTGTGTACAGTCTGAGCTGAAAAAGTAGCCAAGGGTAACAGTGTATTTTTGCCCGGATCAGTTGCCTGATTTGGATGTTTTTTTAATAAATATCGACCTCCTTCTCCAGTATGCTAGTATATTTTTGGTATTCATGTAGCTCCGTTTTATATAACAACTTTTTGGTAAAAATTATGGTAGTCGTCCGAGAAGCTACAGGAAACAGATTGTACTATTGCCTTTTTGCATTTTTTATTTGCCGCTTTATCTTTAATATGAACACTCGCAATACAACAATCATCACAAAATAAAATAATGGCAATAATGCAGCAAAAGTCGAATTTTATGTTTTATATTATTTACCTTCACATAAGGCTGTTTTTACTGAGCGTAGCACACAAGCGTGACCCTTGAATTCGTGAAACTGCATCTATCGTTTCATTTACATCATCCAAGTCATTAATGAACATGTTAAATATTAGTGGGCCCAAGTTTGATCCTTGCATAACACCTGAGTTCACACTATGTGTGTTAATATTCTACCCAGGTAGCAAGGTTTCATCCAGATCTCAGATACACGAGTTTATGAAATTCCCTTGAGAGAAAGCATTTTTCTTCGAAAATTGTATTTTTTCACCCTGTGGTTATAAGCGAGTCAGACTGGACACATTTTGGAATTTGGGATCCGAATCTAATTTTCAAAAGACTGTGAAGCATCATGGAGCTGAATTTGAGATAGAAAATGAGCAGTAAAATGTCGGATCTTATCGTCCTTATGTTACAGATATTTGGTTATTGAGTTTTTGATTAATAAGTCTCATATTTTATATTTTAGATGACGTATAATTGCTATAATTCTGTTATACTCTATTGCAGTACCTCAGTGAGCTCTCACTGTTAAACGGCGACGTTTACCTGGATTTCTTGCCTTCTGCCATAGCTGCGTCTGCCATTGCAATTGCTCGCCATACTTTAGGCGAACCACATTGCTGGACCACAGAGCTCATAGAGTCATCAGGATATGAATTAATCCATCTGCGCCCATGCATCGAGTTCCTCAGTGGTATGTATCAATAACAATAATATTTTTTTGCAAATACAAATGCTATACAATAGCTGTAAACCGTGATATAAATAGCGTCAATCAATCAAAATTAAAGATAAAAGTTTGCTCTAAAGCAAATATGTCATTAATTGTGTATGGTTCTGGATTTAGTCATATTTTATATGATATTTTTTAAATGCACTTGTTTTTGCAATCTTTTTCACAAATGCTGGTAAATGGTTAAAAAGTTTTAGTCAACTGTAAAGAGGTCCTTTTTCAAATAATGCTTAGGATAAATGTAGTTGAAAACTCTTATATAATTACTTGTAAGCCATTAACTGTGAACAATCGCTTATTTTTAAATATTCGAAAATTGTTAAAATATCGAATTACTTGAATTTGCTTCAACATGATGCATCTAACTTCAAACTTAAAATATGTTCTCTTTTGTATTACAAAAATTTCATCAAAGTGACTACAGTTTCTGAATAACATCATTTCATGCCTTAATTTATATTCAAAATGATAAATGACTTTCAAAGTTTTTCCATCCAAATATTTAGCAATAATCCTTATAGATTAACATACCCTATTGAGCTTACTTTGTTTTGTCAAAAAATGCATTTTTTGTGCATTTTATTGCGCACTTTTTCTTCAATCGGAACTGGTTAACAAATATAAGAACAGCTCTGAAATTGTGTGTGAATATTCCTCTTTTATGAAAGAATGAAACGAGTGATTACTTTTGATCTGATCACTTTTCATTTTCGAAAAATCTTTGCTTTTCTTGCGAGACGAGGGGACGAGTCTAATCATAGCAAATTCCCCCGAAATAATTGTAAAGTCTGCTTTTATTGGTGCAAGTTGTTCAAGGAGGTATTTAAAACATGGACGCATAAAATGGATACACCAATTTTTGTGGGAAAACTTTTTATTTGACAAGGAATGAGAAAACGTGTTTTTCGGGATTCAACCAAAAGTGTTGACAGGTATGAGAAAACTTTTCATATATGATTTTTAGGTATTTATGAGACCACATGTAAAAATATCCGACTAATAGCAAAAATATTATGGCCGATAAACGAGGCAAAATGCAGGTTTTGGCACTTGTTAGTAATGCGACGATCATTTGACGCAACTTCTTGAAATTCTTCCAATCCGTAGGATTCATACTTCTAAATAACAACAAAATTGGATTATATTGGTCAAGTAGTTTTTTAAGAACTTCTAATTGTTTGTCCCCTATAAAATGCCCTTTGAACTAACCCTGTATATTGTTTAATAAACTAGTAGTGATGGCCGGAAAACAAGTGTATTGGGATAAACAATTAGATATTCTCAAAAACTACTTGACCAATCTACTGAAATTTTGGTGTGGTTATTTAGTAGTACGAATCCTACGAATTTGAAGAATTTCAAGTATCTGCGAGAACCTTCTGTTTGCCTCGGTTTTCGACCATAACTTTTTTGCTATCAGTCGGATCTTTTTACGTGTGGTCTCATTTTGTAGGTCTCATAAATGCCTAAAAATCTAATATAAAGAGTTTTTTCGTTCTTTGTTGTCAAATAAAAAGTTTCCCACAAGAATTGGTGTACCCATTTTATGCGTCCATGTTTTAAATACCCCCTTGAACAACTTGCAACAATAAAACCATACTTTACAATTATTTCGCAAACCCGAAGTATTTACGTCTAATATGATTAGACTATCTTTGATATGGATATGGTCTAATTTCGAACATCATTTTTATCTGTAGGTATGTTCGCATCAGCGCGCACAATGCCCCAGCGTGCCATCCCAGAGAAATACAAGACCAAGCAGTACCTACACGTATCTTCATTAAGTCCCTTGAACGAACCGTTACTTTTCACTTAACCGCCGCGGAAGGATCGTGCACCTGTGTTTTAAAGACTGTGTTTTGTGAATGTCTCCAGAGACGGACACACAACTGTAGAAGGGAGTCAAATAATGTTAAGTTGCTTCTTTGGAAAGTTATATTTAACGAAAATTCTGCTCCATCATATTGGTAATAAAATTGTTTGGAGCATTTCGAATATATGTGGCCTTCTGCAGTTCATCCGTCTGAAAGTGCCTTATGTGTAAATGTTTTTGTGACTGCGATTTGAATACCCATCCCAGTGCGTTTCTTATTAAAAAAAAAGTGCAAAGATTGATATTCTACTTGTGTACAATATTTAGGCTTAGAATCTTTTGATAACTCGAAGGTGTGGTTTTTATTTTTTTACTTTTTTACTCATAAATTGCGCCCCATAGCTTGCCAGAAAATTTATCAGGTAAGAGTTGCGTCCTCATTTTAGTAAAAAAAAATAATCAGGTTTAACAGCAAATCACCTTGACGGCAAATTGAGTAACCCCGAGATGAGCAACACCCAAAATTTACTAATACTGAATTTTGAGTTTTTTATGAATTTTAACTATAGCCTTTTGGGTTTCACCATGTCTGAAAAACTGATGAATCTGGTTCAGACAATGAATTATTTCCATTTGATTAAATGTCATCTGTATTATGCAGGGTATAGGCACTATTCATAACATCATTGATTAACTATATGCTATATTCCCGCATCAAAAAAATTGTCCTAGAAAAAATAGTGACATCTATGAGAGTTTGCACAGCTGTTTTTCTCTATTCCCTGTATAAACTTTGAAGATGTTAATGTCTCATAGATGGCGCTGTCGCCACCTGTATGCTTGTATATGCTCATATAGTACCTATTAGACACTAACATTTTTAAATTATGTATAGTAAATAGAAAAACATCTGTAAAAAATTCCCATCGATGACGCTATGGAATCTCATTTTATTTTGGATATTTTTTTGGATGCGGAAATATAACATTAGATTGGCAATATTCAGGTCTCCATGTAATCTGCACAGAAAAACTTAGTGTTCTTAAAAAACCGAGTTCAGTTTAGGTACAATTTAGGCTTCTCGTCATGAAGGTGGGATTCGATGTTGTTGATTCTATGAAATAATAAAATTGCCAAAAGTCATCTTATGGCGACACTGTACAGAACTATGAAATAATTAAAAATGCATCTCTTATACAGGGAGGCGCACAATGAACTTTATGGTTTAAAATATGCCATCTGGGAAATTAGGTATGACTGATAAAATCTCCTGAAAGTTGTTAACATTCTGCTTCCATAGTGTTATTCATAATGTTCCGTGGTATTTCGGTCGTCATGACGGCTATTCCGTTAAAAATATTCACTTTCAAGTAGACAGTGTGTCGTGATTGGTACATAAACACATACTCATTCAAAATTTTTCAAAAAAAAAAAGCCGGACGCAGCTAAATCCGATGAACGCGGACGCTAATTCAAATTAATTGTCTCCGCCAAATGATTTGTTCTAGAATTTCCTTTACATAGCCACTACTCTGAACTGTGGGAAAGTCGTCCTCTGCCCAAAAGGCCACAAGAAAAAAACGTACTCTCAGAAGCGAGCTCTTTAATTTTCAATCACCTGTTTTCATTAAATTTTCTTTGTAATTTGCAACAAATTTTCCGCACCTGCACAGAACTGCACATCTTCCAGCAATATCTGTTGCTGACAATTTGGGATGAGAAGTGCGACGATATGCGCGACAAGAACACAGATCTTTGATCTTGACAATGAAAACCGACTATTTTGATCCATTACTCCGTTATATCGCTATACATTAAATTAAGCCTTTTCTACTAAATCCTAGAAACTAATTAAAATTAGAAAAAAGGATGCGTTATAAATAATCAAACCATAGCTTTCATTTTGTGCCACCTCGTAGTACTTCGTTAGTTCAAACGCACGAATCAAGGCAATTGCCATATGAACCTGCCATATTTTATGTAGTATAGAAAACATTCCTGAAACAGTGAAAAGACAAAAAAATGCATTCCAAATCATATCAACATTACAAGTGTGGAAGGTGTGTTGTGATGTCATTGAAGAGAAACGCACAGTTTTACTTTTTAATTTTATATTTAATAACTTCTGTATTTTGAACACTTTTTTTTAAACAGTATGAAATTTGAACCAACCTATGCGGTCTTTTATTTGCTTGTGATGAAACAGATCTGGTCTAATGATTCTTGAAAAATTGCCCACACAGTTCTCGAATCTGTAATTAAAAAATTAAAGACTGCAAGCAACATTTTGAGCGTTGAAATTTATAGGTTTCAATGTTATCAAATAAAACTGCACATAGCTATTGTAATTTATGCAAATTTGTCACGGTTTTTACTTGTATGTCTACACATGCTTAAATAATTATATAGATTTTTTTACATCACTGCGCCAAGTAAAATAGCGTATTTATAACATATTTTTTAACTTTTTGATATTGGCGACTTGGAATTTTGTCAGTGAGATCGAATATTTTTTCAATTTTATAAAGCTAGGCTTAACGATATACAAAACGGTTTTTTCAGTTTTTATTCGTACATAAACATAATTTATGCCATTTGATGCAACCGCATCGAAACCATTTTGTTAGTTTTGAAGAAAACTGACACTATTAATATCAGAAACAATACCTAAGTTAATGTTATTTAGTAACCGCTAGATAGCGCGAAGTAGTAGTTTGAGACTCGATACATCCCACTCGAAAATGTATCATTTCAATCCCTTCTGCTGACTATTGATGCATTTTGAGTAGCGACAGTCTTCTTCTAAACCGACAATTTATTTCTTATGTACTTCGTATTGTAAAAATTTGTTTTTAATATATGATTTCCAGTCTACTGTCTTTGTTTATACCCAGAATCCAGCATTTAGTGGCCCATTGAAAAGATGCGAATAACTCCATTCTTAACATTGTTTTATTAGCTTAACATATACACGGTGTTCATTCAGATTTATCGAAAACCTCTGATTGAAAGAAAAAACGCCAAGATACGTCAAAAGATTTGTTCAACTTTTGAACCAAAAGCTGCTTCGCCCCCTTTCACTCTCTGGCCCCCAGGGTCATCCCCTTAAAAATTTTAAATGACAAGGGGTATCGAGTAATAGCTTGTTTGAATTATGACGTTTGATTTTTTAAAAGCGGTCGATTTGTTTTCAAGAACATTAGAATAATCTTTATTTATCTTAATTTGTCAGATAGAAAACAAAAAACGCGGAAATATCACTTTTTATCTCAACAAGTGTTCAAAATGTTGCCCGTTAGGTTTTGCCAAATCTACAATTCGTTTATAATTTAAAACGGAAACTACCAACATAAACAGCAATTCGGAAGATTAGACGTTGCAACAACCAAATAACAAACCGAATTTTTTCCGCATTAGTTATTTGTTGCTAAAGGAAAGAATTTAATTTGATGTCAGTTACAATCTTGCGATAGTGAAAATTAATGTATTGATTCAGATTTTCCTTCAAAAATGGTTTACACACTAGCCAAAAGTGTGGAAATGATTCTAATTTATGGTGCCCAAAATCAATGCGCTGGGCAAACTGCCATCACGTTTAACACCAGACATCCGGGGAAGAAAACTTCGCATAGGTATGTTTTGGACCTATGCTGACAAAGAATTCTAAAAAATAATTTCTTGCCGACGACAAATTAATACTTAGTTACGATTGGGTTAAGAAACGGAACCCGTTTCAAATTACTCCCGAAGGGCTTTCAACTGTCGAAGAAGAAATCTACATAGACAAACAAAAAACAATTAAATAATAAATCCCTCTTTGAATTTTGGGCAGACGTGGACGATGAGGTTTCGGCACAGAAAACCAAAGCGTTTCGTATACTACTACCATTTTTAACATCCTACCTTTGCGAAACAGGATTTTGTGCTGTGGGTGCTTTGCAGGCCAAATATAGATCGCAGCTAAATATATGGGGTTGTCCAAAACGGACGCAGGAAAGTAAACGCATATTAAAACAAGAAAGATTGATATTCAAATCAAGTTGGGTACTTTATTTTGAAGGTTCATTTATACCATTTATGTATGAAAAATAATATCGCTCAAATGTTCACCACGACTGGATTTACAGACGTCCACGCGATGGTCGAAATTTTCAATGACATTTTGCAACATGGTCGGTTCTATGGCATTTATCTCGGCAATGATGTTGTTTTTGAGTTCTTGGAGGGTGGCTGGTTTGTTGACGTAGACTTTGCTTTTCAAATATCCTCTGCGCGAAATCACGTTGGTTGTGTGACATGTTGCACCGTCTTGTTGGAAATAAACATCGTCCATATCCATTCCTTCAAGTTGCAAAAAATAGTCCTCTGTCATCACGTGATATCGCTCAGAATTGACGGTAACGGCGTCCCCGGCCGCATTTACGAAAAAGTAAGGTCCGATGATGCCCTTTGACTACAATGCATACCACACAGTCACTTTTTGAGGATGCATCGGCTGCTCTTGAAACTCACGGGGATTTTCGTTCGCCCAGATGCGGCAGTTTTGCTTGTTTACCGTCCCATTCAAAGTGAAATGCGCTTCTTCGCTGGACATGATTTTTGATGAAAAACTGGCATCAATTTGGCGGTGTTCAAGGAGCCAATCTGAGAACGTTCGTCGAGAAAAATGGTCGGCCCAACGCAGCTCCTGCGTCAATTGGATCTTGTAGGCTTGTACATTCATATCCTTGTGGAGAATGCGGAGCAAACTGGTTCTCGAAATGCCCAATTCTTGGGATCGACGCGTTGTTGATTGTTTCGGATCGTCTCTCACACTCTCCTTCACAACAGCAATATTTTCCGGTGTGCGAACGCTCCTTAGCCGGCCAGAGCCTGGCAGATTTGCCACAGAACCTGTTGCCTCGAATTTACGCACCAGACGACCGATGGTTGTTTCGTTTGGGCGGTTGTTGCGACCGAAATGTTCACGAGGCGCGCGAAACGTGTTTTTTATTTTTGCACCATTTTTGTAGTGCTCTTGGATAACTTTAATGCGATCTTCAATCGAATACGACTCCATAGCGATCAATGGTAAACATTCAACTAACAAAATGACATGTCGGTGACAGAAAACAAAGATGGCGTCTATGTCAAATTGACGTTTACTTTCCTGCGTCCCTATTGGACAACCCTATAGATAAAACTCACGCGTGTCTGTTTCAAATACAGGGTGGGCCATGAGAGTGTTGGCGATTTTAAATTTCTCGGAAACGCGGGTTGGGGGAAAAGCTGTTAGCCGCGCCGTTACCTGGAATTTAGTCGCCATGGAGCCGTACACGGGAGCGCAGCCTGCGTTTTGTGCCTGAGCGTATTATGAAAACAATAAATCAGTTATTACTGCACGACGTTTGTATGAACATAACATGAACACGGTTTACGCGATTTAAGAGAAGTTCCAAGCGCCAATGTGATACGGAAATGGATCAGAATGTTCGAAACAACCGGGTCGACAGTAACAATACCAGCTCGTGGTCGTCCAGTTTCTGCAAGATCAGCCGACAATGTAGAGCGTGTTCGTGTTTCAGTTCAGCGAAATCCGCAATAGTCAACACGAAGAGAAGTCGGGCTTTGGACATCAAAAGAACGAGCTTGCGGCGAATTTTGAAGCGTGATTTGCATTTGAAGGCATTTATAACTATCAACTAGTCCAAGAATTAAAACCAGGATGCCAATAACCGATTTAACTTTGACAATTTGATGCTCGACCGATTCAACAGTTTTAACAACGTGATGTTTCGTGATGAGGACAGTTTTCAACTCAATGGCCATTTTAACCATCAAAATTGTCGGTTCTGATCCGAAACTAATCCCCAACGCTCGCATGAACGTCCACTTCACAGTCGTAAACTAGTCGTGTGGGATAGAATTACGTCAACCGGTATTTTTGGACCGTACTTTTTTGAGGACGAAAGAGGGCAAGCGGTGACAGTTAGAGCTAACAATTATTGCAATATGATGATAACAGATTTTTTGGAGTCAGCTGTGCAAGAACATCTAAGGCAATACCTCTAGAATGTGGTTTCAACAAGATGGGGCCACATACAGCTAGGGTATCTATAGAGCTGCTAAAAAATGTCTTTCCCGGAAAACTCATTTCGAAAAGGGGGATATTGAATGACCACCACGTAGCCCCGATTTTTCTCCATGCGATTATTTCCTATGGGGCTACGTCAAACCGGTGGTCTACGAGAATAATCCAACTAATTTAGAGTAGCTGAAGAGGAATATTATTCAGGAAAGTAACAAAATACCGAGAACAACTTTTCAACGAGTTTTCCCAAATCTGCAGCTTCGGTTGCAAGAGTGCCAAGCAGGCGAAGGAAGTCATTTGAACAACATTATTTTTAAGTCTTAAAAATTCTTATATTTCTACTTTTCAAGAATACATTTATTTTTCGTTTATATTGCGTAGTTATTTTTTAATTGAAATTGCCAACACCTTTATGGCCCACCCTGTATTAAACCTTGCTTCGACAAGCTTTGCTCGGCAAAGCAGGCCCAAGGGAGTCACTAGTAATTATTATTATTTTTTACAATTAATATTATTAAACTTATTTTTAATTTAGTATTGATAAATACAGTCCTGTTTATATAAGTGTACCTACTATATCAGTGTTAATGTGTATTTTTGATTGTCAGAATTTTGTTGTTCTTTCCTTTTAGTAAAATATTCAATGTTCTTAGTGTTTTTTTCTGATATGCTCGCGCCCCCCCCCCCCTTTAATATTTACACGCCCCCTAGGAGCGAGCCCCCCACAGGTTGAGAAACGCTGTTTTAAGACATTTAGTTAAACATCAAGAGTGACTTAACATATTCTGGACAGGCTTATTTTGGTATTTGACTTGTTTTAACAACGTCTTTCATAAAATCATCTAAGGAATTACCATTTAGTTACTAAGGAAGCCGTCTGCAGATGAATAAGTGAGGACCCAAAACATTATTTTTCTATGTTTTGCATATGTAAGTTTCCTCGGTGCAATTTAAAGAAAATCAGATCATTCGACAAGCGACATTCGTTTTATATAAGCGTATCCCGTGATTAATTCAGCAAAAATTTGTAGAAAAAATGGTGCATTCAAATTGCAGACATTTTCTTTTCAAGGCAAATGCCATTACGGTTTTTTAATCCCACTTTTCCTCGTGGAGGTGAACCAGTTTGTGAATTGTCAAGTGCAATGAATAAATTATTGCGAAACAAGAAGTAATTCCGCACTTGTAAGCAGGTATACACAGAAGTAGTCTGGTCATAATAGAAAACTGACACTTCTGATAAAGCGAGCGGCGTTTGGCCCTTAAAACATAATCTAAGTGAAGATAGCCAACCTAATACTATCTCTTGGAGTCCAAAACAACCAATATGAAGTGAGATGCCAGGGCGACATCTATGAGAATCTGTCATAGCTATTAGTTACTTGGCAATAATTATAAATCTTCTTTGAAAGGGTTAGTGTCTCAGAGATGTCGCTGTAGTCTACATGCTCATATATACCCTATTTCACGAGTATCCATCACGGTAGAATGACAACTGATTATCTAGTTATATCTCAAAATTCCATATATCGGCACAGGACACAAAATTCTGACGGATCCGTCAACACCAGGTAGGCAGAGCCGAATTTTCTTTTTGTTTTTTGTACCCTACAGATTAATTTTGTACTTGCTAACACCTCTGTTATTTAGAAAAGTTCATTTGCATACAAAAAACCAAAACGCCACAAACAAGTTTTAATAGATTTATACCCGATCCATCATTGCCAACGTTGTAGACTAACACATAACATAAATGTAAAATAGGGTATCCATCACGTTTAGACGTCTACTGGGATGAACAGCTTATCAGCAAGTGACATTTAGCTGTCAGCAAGTACAAAATGAATCTGTAGCATACAAAAAACCAAAACAAAATACGGCTCTGTCTACCTGGCGTTGACGGATCCGTCAGAATTACGTGTTCTATGCCGATATGAGGAATTTTAATCGGCTGTCATTCTACCGTGGTGGGTACTCGTGAAATAGGGTATAGTTGGCAATGTAGTTAACCATAAGCTCATATAAGTTCCGGCTGCAGCGCCATCTATGAGACACTAACGTTTTGAAAGTAGATTTCTAATTCTTGTGGAGAGGGGAAACATCTAAGGATTTTTGTTGCCATGTTTCTCTGTTTCTTGTATGACCTCAACTCTACCCACATTTTTTGTCTTTTCAGGGTGGGGTATTTTTATTAGCTGAAAAAGGTTGATTTCACCCATTTTTCAAAAATGACGATGCAGATCATCGTCGTTTTTTTCGATCGTATTATGGAAAGCACGTTTTTGAAATAATCGGTGGTCTCAGAATTCATGTTTAGCATGATTTCCGTCTCCTGTCCTGATTTGTCTGAACTGTGCGAGTGACACTTTGAATACTAAAATTTTGTAGAATCAAAATTGCGGATTTTAATGAAAACATTCAACGTTGAAATTCAAATTTCGCGGACTACAGCTTAAACAGTTTGATGATTTTTGGCAAAGGCGTCTGGATTTAACAGGCGAATTTTAAAGGCAAACTTATGTCCCCTAATGGGTGCCCATGTTTGAAATGCGCATATTGAAAGATAAACTTGAATCTTTCGCATTTCCCGCTGAGCGAATAGGCCAATAGGATTTGATTTTGCTCATATCCGCCTGAATCATAACCCCTATGCCAGACGGTCGGTCACATTTATAAGAATTACATATATGGAGTATGGACGTCTGGGAAGGCACCAGAAGTCAATTCACATTGCCATCTTCTAATTCAACTATATTTCCCGGACTATATTCCTTTCTAGTTTTCTTTTTTCTGCATACGTCCTAAGCATGTTCTAAGCGTTCGGAGGTGGGCCGGGCGATGTCAGTGATGTCGTGTCGTGATGTCTTTTTGAAGTTTGAGGTTATGTGTGCTCATTTGTTTGCACAGATTTGAATATCTGTTCACATTTTATCAGATCTCAGAATTATTTTACTATTAAAATGAGGTGATAAGGTGTTGCGGTGTGAAAAATATGTTAGCCTGTACATTTAAGCATGAAAAGAAATACGAAAAGCTTGCTGAAGTTTTTTCTTCTTTCTGCAGTGACTGTGTTGATAACAGTTTTGATATTTAGGATATTTAAAAGTGTAAATTATGTTGAACAAGCTCATTTGGTGGGGCTTATACACGGCGCACAGCCTGAAGAGTCCCAACATGTAAGTAATTCTTCAAATCAGATATCTTGCATATTTCTCACTGGTCCTTAATGCAGGTTAATCATATTGATAATGAAAAAATAGACTGGCATGATCTTGAAAGAATCAGAAGGGATGCGTTAAGAAAGGGTAAGTGGCAATCTCATTATAAAATAGTTATTTGCAGACTGCAAAAAATATTTTGAAACTTGTACAGAAAAAGGTAAGACATTAGCCATTATATTCATATATTTTTGCCCTTTCTTAAAGAACAATTGAAGTTTTTAAATTTGAGATCTAATCCTGACAAGCCAAAGTAAATGGGACGTGCCCCCATCATTAAAAATTATAATAGTGGCTAAATTTCATAATGTCTAGTGTTTCTTGTCTTTGTGACACTTCATGATTTTTAGATGATGATATTTGTATTCTATGCCCAAAATTACATAGTGTCATTTGCTTTTAAAGTTAAAGTACTATAGTATTTTGAGGTTTCTCATGAGAAAATTTAAATATTTCTGTATTTGTATTTGAAACCAACATTCACTTTGATGCAGGTAGCGACAGAGGTACCAAGTGACTCATCTTTTAATTTAAATCTGTAATTGCTAGATGGACAGAGGCTATGCTGTAGCTTTGAAATTTGACATAGACGCATTGAGGGATTCGAACTCGCGCAGCTCATTGCGTTTGGTTAGTAGTAGGCTAAACCAGTAAGCCACCATGCTGCTTAAATCTGCTAAATCATAGTGAAATGTTGAAATTTTAAAGCTGTTATACATTTAATTTTTAGACATAGTGTATTTTTGTGGGATCCAGACAACATATCAGTTCAGGTCTTCTCAAAGCAGCCACTATGCAACCCAAATTAGTGGGAGCAATTCAGCTTTAATATTTTCAAAATGGTGGCACTTTCAGTTATAACACATACCAACTTGCTTATTTTAAATGGGGCACCCTGAATATTATTCAATTCTTGGATTCTAAGAATCATGAACTTCATCCTATACTTAAGCTAACAGTTTTTGAAAAATCTTTAATTTTGGGTCAGAGTATTCAAACGCAGCCTGATAAATAATCATCAGTTTATCCTGTAATTGTATAGTTGTCATGCGAATTGTAACAGCTTTCTTGTAGGATGAGCTAGAATAAATTGAAGTGTCACCATTTTGAAAATATTTTAGCCAAATTTTTCCCATTTATTTTACGAAAATCGCAACTTTTCGTAGTTTCCAAGTAGTCAATCTCTACAATTCTTTGTGAGTCACCTTGTATGCACTCACCAATGTTTTGAACTGTTAAGTTTTGCAATATAATTAGATGGAGAAAAATTCACATTTTCTATTTCCTAATCTAATTTTTAATTAAACTGTTTTTACTATTAAACAATCGATTTCTGTTTCCGTTCTGTATGGCACGCGAAATGGCTGCAAGAGATAACACTGATAGGACAAATTACGCAACAAGTTGTTGAGGCGGCATTGAAATAACGAGAATAATAAGCGAGCGGAGTTTGTTATAATAATTTAACAATTTCATATTTTAAAACATGTGTTTGTGATGTATGATGTGTTCCATTGGTCTGTTTTTCCGATAATCCTTGATGCGTCTGTAATTCGGGAGCTGCGACTAAATGTTCAAGGTTCCTTTCCATGCCAAGAAGAATAAACAAACCTTGAAAATGGTTTGGTGTTTTTCATGCTTAGATAATTTAGTCTCCGGCTACCGGCGTCCCACTCCTCCCTCGTTGCATACTCCACAATAAACTTGTGGTTGAAGCGATATTTAGGGGTAATACGATCACTGAAGGACGGGATCCTCCCTTTGCAATTCGACTAAGATGGCAGTTTGCCCCTTGACAGGATTCAAGAAAGCCCAGCTGCCCTGACTCCACAGTCGATGAGCTACTGCTCTCGCTTCACCGCGGATCACCAGATCCAACGGTGGGAGATCCAACAGAGCTTCCATTGCACTCAATGGCGTTGTTCGCACTGCGCTTGTAATACTAATACAGGCCAAACGCTGAATTTTATTGGGTTTGGCCTTAGTTGTCTCAGTTCTTATGCAAGGCCACCAGACCAGGGAGCCGTACAAGAGAGGTGGACGTACTATCATCGTATCTTTGTGTACTACTTGGATGAATTTATAAATCTCAATGTTTACATGTTTTTAAAATCCGCGGGTCTCTCCGGTGCTACTCTAAAAAGGTTAATTCGAAAATGCATTAATAAATATTTGTGTATAAGGAATAAAAAACACCGAGTTCGGGTTAATGTCTACATTTGTACGAACACAAGGTTAAACAATGCAGTTTCTTTTATGGTTTGTATGAAAGGATAACATTGCATCTCTTTGTTTCAAAATATTTTGCATTCTTGGTTCTAGATCTTTACATTAGCAAAATCTGGATACAATTATAAGAATAATAACAATACATTTTTAGGTCTTGGGGAGCAAGGTGCGCCTGCTTATCTCAGTCCAACTGAGATGAAAAATTACGATGAACTGTACAAAGTAAATGGATTTAATGCCGCACTTAGTGATAAGATAGCTTTAGATAGAGCAGTACCTGATATTAGGCATCGTGGGTAGGTATTGTTTTTGTCTTGGCTACTCCCAAGAAATCGTTGTTTACTTTTTTAATTAACTAAATACCGGTTTAATTTGTTTTGATTACTTCACACGTCATAGATATAAGCATGATCGTCTGTACTTGGCATAATAATAGTTCATTATACCTCTGCAGGGTCGGATATAGTGTTAATCTACCAGCAAAAGATTCCTCCTACTCGGCTTGTTTTTATACAGAACATCATTCTTTCGGAACGGTTATGATTATAGGATGGGACGCAAATATGGTACTTTGGTTATTTCTAAAAAAACACTTTGAGCTGTGACTTTTCTAGAGTGATATGTTTCAATACGAGGTATAGCAGTTAACTGCCGATAATCTAGTGATAACTCTGAAACTATCAATACTGTTTCGTTAGTCGACATATGTCTTGAGATGAGAGGCTGACTTTTGGCTTTAGTACAAGGTTAATGTTGATCGCACCTTTGGTGCATGTTTTCTGCGTATTTCTTAGTGGTATTACCAGCAGTCTGTTGTGGTTTAGCTTTTGGAGAAGTCTGACGAAAACCTCTCAAAATTGTACGTGATGTATGGAGATGAGTACGAGGGATGTCTTTTAAGTTTTGCATACATAGTAGGACGCGCGGATCGTTGACTGAAGAGCAGAAAGCAGCCAGGGTTAATTGGTGTCAAAAAACGCTTGACCGTTTCAATTCCGGAAACTCAAAACATGTGAACAGCATTGTTAGTGCTGATGAATCGTGGATTTACTGTTATGAACCAGAAAATAAACGACAGTCGGCTGTTTGGGTGTTCCAAGGTGAAGAAAAGCCAACAAAAGTCATCAAAAGCGGGTCATATTGCAACAATTCCTCTTAATGAGCAAAGAACTGTTACTGCGGATTGGTATACCACCACTTGTTTTGCCAAAAGTCATCACTGAGCTTCGAAAAATCAACCCCGAAGAAGAATCATCCTCCACCAAGACAATACAAGCTCGCACACAGCCCAAAAAACAAGGCAGTATTTAACGGAAGAAAACGTGGAATTATTGGACCATCCTCCATATAGTCCCGATCTAAGTCCTAACGATTTCTTTACTTTCCCGAAAATTAAAAACAGACTGCGTGGTCAAAGATTTCAGTCACCAGAAGAAGCAGTGGAAGCATTCAAAAATGACGTTTTGGATTTTCCAGCAAACGAGTGGAATAAGTGCTTCGAAAATTGGTTCGAGCGCATGCAGATGTGTATTAATCTTCGTGGAGAATACCTCGAAAAACAATAAAGTCATTTAAAACTACCTACCGTGTTGTTTTATTTCCATATGCAAAACTTAAAAGACATCCCTCGTATTTGTCAAAAACAAGTGAAGAAGACGATCAACGTGAAGAAGCTCCCGTCATTTCTCATGCCGAATTGGCCTTGCGAGCTAAATGGCAACATGGAAGCTGTTTCCAAGATGTTACACGAAAATTTAAGCATACGAAAGATTTGTACAATGATGGTGCCAAATGCTCTCACCCGTTCCACGTTCAATGTGTAACATTTTTTTGGCGAAAAAGTAGGTTTTTTTCAGGCACAAGGAATTCTTTTTTTGAAAAAACGAATTCATCATTGTAAACATTGATCTTTTAGCTATTTTTCTCCATAGTCGCCATTTTTTTTCTACGTATTTTTTTAGACGCGAGATCCACTTTTGCACCCTTTTTTTGAGGTTATATGACATCAACATTATGAAAAACCAGATAATCTTATAGCGCTAAAAACTTGAGAAATTCTGCTCGGATTTCGATGAAATTTTTACACAACGATACTAATATGCCAAGGATTCAAAAGCTTTTTCTCAAAATCGGTCCAGTGGTGGCAGAGAAAAAAGCCAAAAACGAAAAAATCTCTCAAACTTCGTTTTTTGACGGTTCTCAGGAACCTGATCATTTTAGAAAAAAAAATGTATAGGTAAAAAACTGGGAAACTACTAGTTGAATGTCTAAGGACTAATTGTGTGGTCCATGAATGACTTTTTTCTTCGAGGGCCTAGTTTGTGTTGCGTGGGAAATGCAGAGTCAACTTACTTGACTCCATTTTTTTCTTTTCATTTGATGAATGAAGTGAAGAAAGAAACCACAGGATACGTTTCATATGTTACATTACGGAAAAATGTGATCCTATTTTTAATATATCTTCCAGGTGCAAAACTAAAAAGTATTTAAAAAATTTGCCATCTGTAAGTGTGATAGTTCCATTCCATAATGAGCATTGGACGACGCTGTTGAGAACAGTTGTCAGTGTAATCAACAGGTCACCACCTCAAATATTGAAGGAAATAATACTAGTTGATGATGCTAGTACCAAACGTAAGTATCCCAAAACTAAGAATTAAGGAATCGCTGATTGTGAAATTGTCATTCGTCATTCGTATTCTAGCAAGTTACGGAATGACTGCCACAAAGCTTCGCCAACCTGACTCGTATCGGTGTCTAAAAATTCTGTTTGGCGAGTGGTAAAACTCTGGTAGGTGGTAGGACAGAATCGCTAGACAAAAGAATCCACCATCACATATATTGATCGACCAGCCAAAGATTGCTAGGGACGAAAGGGGGAAATGCGATGAAAAAACCTTACCATTAGACGATTTTATATGGAGTCATAGGCGGAGATCGGAGAGACTTGAATTATTAATTGAATTTATATTTTATTACAACTGGTAGTATTAATATTTTTTTGCGATTCATAATGACGTGATACCAAACATACATTATAAGAAATAAATATACACAAACACTGAATATTGAGAACAAAATAAATATATTTTTTAGGCAACAAGTAATATTCCTATGTACGCATTATGATTGAACAGCAAAACAAATTATGCATTCTTCTAAAATAGAATACAACAAGTCAAAAATATCTGACTGAATAGAAAAATATAGGAAAACAAAAAGTAATTTCTTGATGAAATAACCCATAAACAACACATAGAATTAGACTTTCTACTGAGATACTAAAAGCCACAAACCAATAGTATAATAAATGAATATCTAAAAATTCTAAAAGGTAGCCAATCTAGTATAGTTTCAATCCTGATTAGAGTCATGATCACTGTCTGAGGAACTGTCATTGCTATCACTTTCACCTCCTATGTTGATTATTATTTCTTCCTGTATTTCTTGAATGAGACTGTCTTTTTCCCAATATTCATCTTCAATTTTTATAACATGTCCAATAACCTTTTGCCAGTCACTGGCACTTACTGAAGCGATGGCCTTATTAGAAATTTCATCTAGTTTTTTTATAGTAAATTCGCCGCTTGTATTATGGCTTCTAATGAAAAATTTTACTTGTGCCCAAATCATCTCTATGGGATTAAACTGACACATATAGGGTGGCGTTCGAAGTGGGGTGTGTCCGAAACTTCTTATTAAATTATCTATCTTATAATTTTTCTCATCAGATGGTGGCCTATGTAGACAAGCTATTTCATAAAGCTCCATTTTTTTAGCATTAGGATCATGCTCTATACCTTTTTTGCTCAACCACGTGATGATGTCTCTTTTTAGAGAAGATCTAGTTGGAGGCTTGTCTTCCAAAGCTGAATGGTAAGGTGCATTATCCATTATTATAATACTATTAGGAGGAATGTTAGGAAATAGTTTTTCAGTAAGCCACTTCGTGAAATTTTCTTGGTTCATTTGACCGTGATAATCACCAGTGGCACAGCCAGCCTTGAAAATGAGACAGGCTCCAGGAACAAAACCATCTTGCGAACCCGCATGAACAATTATAAGTCGTCCTGGAAATGAATAAATAGCCTCATTTTAGTGTTATTTTAAGTTTGCCAACACCTTTTTGAATCACTATGTATAAAAAACATATTTTTGAGAAAAAAATACTTGCAAGGGATTATGTATTCAATTAGACAAATTAAATGAGCACTTATTAAGAATATTCCAAAATTGAGAAAAATGTATAATAAGCAAAATCGAGGTGAAAGAAACTTTATTACCTGTAGAACTTATATTGCTCAGGACACCCATAATTTCTTCGCTTTGCCAGCATTTCTTGAAAGTGAGGTCATTATCAACCCAAGTTTCGTCCAAATAAATAATATGCCTTCCTTCTTCCCGGAACTTTTTAATAGACCTAAGATACTTGTATCGCCAATGTAAAATACTGGGTCTTTCCATTAGTAATTTCCTTTTGTTGTGGCATTTACGCCAGTAAAATCCTTTTGCTTTTAAAAGCAGCCTCAACGATTCTTTACCAAATGGAAATTCCATTTCTTCCTTCAGTTTGATTAGAAGTTTACTACAAGTAGGTACCACTTTAAAATCACAGTAAAATTTTTCTATCATTCTCCGAATAATGGAAAAATCGACTCCATCAATTTTTTGGATCACAGAAGGGCGTGATCTCTTTTTTCCGGGAGAAGCTAAAGGCTGTGTGGAGGTTGCATTTTGCCTGTCTTTATCTTCTTTTCTAATTTTACTTATAGTTCGTTCACTAACACCCGTATAATATGCCGCCCTTGCATTTCTAGCTACCAGTGGATAAACGAAAGTATTGTTAGCCGCTTCTGCATCGCAAGCACGTATCACGTTTGCTATTATTTCCCTTGCCTGGCTGTGAATAACTTTCCCATGCTTGAATTCCATTATCACCACTAAACAGTAAATTATATTTTCAAAGTATTTGCCAACTGCCTACGCCTATGGGAGTAGGTTTATAAATGACCGTGCCATCGGCACGTTATTCTAGTTTCAGATAAGATAAGAGTTTTGGACCAATCAGCGACCGGATGTTTACCTGCGGCCTGGGTTTTCCAGCTACATTGCCAAATTCAGCGGAACAATTCTATATCTTAAATATGTTAATATGTATGGACCGCATTTTATGTAGAACATCTGACAACTTCGCAATTTTTTGTCCGCATTCTTTCGGCTTGCAATCTTTCGCTGGTCCAACAGTAAGTTACGTTGTGCCACGTGGTCGGCGGTAGAACCAAGAGATTGTTGAATTCTAACTGTCTTAAAGCATTGATTAATATATTCTCCATGAAGATGCCCAACCCAATGCTGTATTTGAACGTTTACATAGAGTGTATTTTGTCACAGCCATATCACCAAGTGGGGTCACAGCAATTGCCTTAGAAGTAATAGAAACATACTCCATTTTGCTTTTAAAGAAAATTCTTTATACTGAAATATGACATCTGCGATCCAATGATCATACCTCAACGTCACTTGTAATTATTCCTTAAATTTCATATTCTCAGAATGTCTCAACGACGGAAATAGCTGACGCCACAAGACTAAGGAAAAACATTACACTATTTCTAAAGTAGAAAGTACATTCAAAAATAACTAAAAAGCTTACATACAAACATAGGACCTAGATTGTTCCATTGCCAAGATTCAGGGTGTAAATTTCTGCGCCATGATGACTAAATAAGGACAAAACGCCAATCAGTATTATCAATTCCGGATGTAGGATCTGTGGGGCCCGAGGCACAAAGCTCGTTGTGGGCCCGCTATAACTTAGATAATCTACATTTCAAATAATGTTTCACATACTTGAAGAAATGTACACTTATCTCTGTGTAAGGTAATATACTAAATAATATTCAAATCTTAAAGAAATTGGTTTCAGATTTCGTGGGATATATAATAATTTTGTCAGTTTCATCAAAAGTATATCCGTGGAGTAAACAAAATAATTTATAACACAAAAATATATCCACACTTCAATTGTTGCTCATCATTGCTACTTTCTTGTTCACTAGGTGATAAGCAGATGCTCCATAAGTATATGAGAATAATATTAAACTGCAATAAGTACACGCCAGTCGAAGTCGTGAAACAAAATTAAAATTTTTTAACAGTGCAGGACACCTTAATTTTATATTTGATGTTATTTTAGCAAATTTAAGTTGAAAGGATGTGGTATGCTAACATGACGTAATATCAAAAAACAATTATTACATTGAAAGATAACGAACTTATGATGGTTTACCACTAGAAATAAAAATAGCACAAAATGTAATATTCAAGGGGAAATTAGGGTAACTTATTATTTTAGATCCAAGTGATATGTGATTTTTACGGTCATGCTATTTGCTGAATCACCCTGTATAGTTGTTCCAGTTGAGTTGGGGTAACTTCTGATAGAATATGTTAATCACGTCTTATAGTGAGGATATACAAAATATGAAATTATATTTTTCAGCTTTCAGTAGAAAACCTTTAGATGATTACCTAGCCGCCAACCTAACGAAGAGTAGGGTGATACATTTGCCTGAAAGAAGTGGCCTAATACGAGCTAGGCTCGCAGGTGCTAGAGAGGCTACGTCTGATGTACTAATTTTCCTTGATTCTCATACAGAAGCCAACATTAACTGGCTTCCACCGCTTTTGGGTATGTGTCAATATCAAGACAGCTGTTCTTTCTAGAAAAAGCACATACGCATAATTATCCACTTGGAATTTTTTGGAAGTTTTGAAAATCACTAGTTTTACTCGTATACAGGGTTTGTCCGGAAAGTAATAGGACTGAGTCGATTTAAGAAAAGTTATTGAGATAATCGTTACAATTCTTTAAAAACTTTCAAAATAGGCTCCTTCTGCGTCGGTGCAGCGCTGCCAGCGCGATTTACAAGCATTGAAGGCGTCACGGAAGGCATTCTCCGGAATAGCCTTGAGAGCCCCGCGGTGCATGCTGCTTGGATACCCTCTGTCGTCTCAAAATGCTTGCCTTTCATCGGCCTTTTCAGGCGAGGAAACACAAAAAGTCCGGGGGGGGGGCACATCTGGGCTGTAGGGCGGCTGCGGAAGCGTTGGGTTGCCGGCCTTGGTCAGGTAGCTGTTCATAAGAAAGGCGGTGTGAGCCGGGACGTTATCGTGGTGACACTTCCAGTCGGCTGCGATGTCTTGTCGGACCCGTCTGACCCTTCGTTTGAGTCTCCTGAGCACTTCCACGTAAAACTTGGCGTTGACGGTTTGTCCAGGAGGAACAAATTCATGGTGGACGATGCCTTTGATGTCAAAAAAGACAATGAGCATCGTTTTCACTTTGGATTTGCTCATTCTTCCCTTTTTTGGGCGAGGAGACGCCGTCGTGTGCCCCTCGGAAGATTGCCTCTTTGTCTCGGGATCAAGCTCAAAGATCCACGATTCGTCACCTGTGATTACGTTATTGAAAAATTGGGGGTCACTTTCACACATGTTCAAATTTTCTTGGCACACTTCCACTCGCCGCAATTTCTGGTCGTCAGGGAGCACTTTTGGGACCATCACCATCTTACGGTATTCATCAGCGACCTCTTTCCGGCCCTCCAAAAAGGCCTGGTGCCACCGAAACACACCACTTCTTGCGAAAGCAACTCCTGGGTAAGCCTGCTTGATCATATCAAACGTGTCTGTCGCAGATTTACCGAGTTTCACACAGAATTTAATCGCGTACCTCTGCTCTAACGAACGCTGTATTTTCGGCTTGCACCACTCACAGAAACACGTCGCGCGAAAATGCCTGTCCTGACTCTCCAAGTGCTCGGAGACAACTGACCAGCCGCTCATTCGTTAGCTAGGAACGCCCTCTACCGAATCCAGTCGGTACACGCACGCTCTGAAGTACAGTCATGGCGGAAGAAAATGAGTTCTATTACTTTCCGGACAAACCCTGTATGTATCACGAGCTCTGTCCCGCACTCCTCTACCTCATATCTTTTCTTGCGGCCAGGGCAGGGGACACATTTCTAACTTGCAGCATTGTCAATTGATGGAGACTGTGCACTAATTATATGAGCCTGTTTTATTGACTTGATCCACTTAGTTTTTTGATATACATGTTAGTTGCCAACTTGAGCCGAACATATCCTTTATGAACTAATGACGGCGTTGCGTCAGAAGGGCAGAGTCAACCTACTTGACGCTATTTCTTTTTTATTTCAGAACCTATAGCTCAAGATTACAAGACTTGCGTTTGCCCATTTATTGACGTGATACAATTTGAAACTTTCCAATATAGATCTCAAGATGAGGGTGCTAGAGGAGCTTTTGATTGGGAGTTTTTCTATAAAAGACTGCCGCTTCTTGCCGAAGATTTAAAACATCCCACTGAACCGTTCAAGTAAGTCTAAGGAGAAAGACAAATATCTTACATCTAGAATCTGGTTAAAAATTCATAAAGCAGTCTGTGTTAACATGGACCGAAACATTTTCCACTGCATTCTGTTGATGTGTATTGAGCTTAAGAATTAGCAGTATATAATTGCTTAGTGGCTCTTATAAATAAAATGCCGCGAAGAATATATAGCAACTTGTTTTGGATTAATTTCCGAGTATTATTATATTGACACTTCTGACACGTTTATCAATTATTCTATTGTAAAATTAATTCCAATGTTTACATTTTTCTTATGCAAGGTATTCTGATGTTGAATCTGGGATCCTTGAGGATTTTATATATTTATGTTTACTATGCATCATAATATAACAGTTATATTTACTTTTGTTTAATAGCAATGAAATATCAATAATTTGTTTGTACTATCTGTGTCAAATCCAAATCCAATATCATAAAAAACACATGAAACCATTGTTTATTTCTAGTCCATACTTTGATTCTGAGGCCCCGTGTTTTCGGAAATTCGCCAAGTAAAATGATCACTTTTCTGAGCGTTATATATATTCTGAGTAAATTTTTTTTACTTATAATTTTTTTTAAGGAGTCCGATTATGGCAGGAGGTTTGTTCGCCATAAGTCGTAAATTTTTTTGGGAGTTAGGAGGTTACGACGAAGGTCTAGACATTTGGGGTGGGGAGCAGTACGAACTGAGCTTCAAGATTTGGCAGTGCGGTGGTCAGATGGTTGACGCACCCTGTTCGAGAGTGGGGCATATCTACAGAAAGTTCTCTCCATTCCCGAATCCCGGGAAAGGAGATTTCGTCGGCAGAGTAAGTATAAAATTCAGAAACTCAAAGTCGTACTTTTTAACAAACATTCGAATCAGGAATACGAAAATATGGTGTTTATATTTTGAGCAACCTTTAATATCAAAAGAGGGTGGCCTTTTCCATATATGGCCATATGTGTTAGAGCATGAAAATTAAATACAAATCGGCGTAGTAATTTCCCCGATTGTTGTTTTGGTGTTAAATGTTACTCACCTTCAATGTTCAGCTCCGACTTCTTGTCATTTTTTAATTTCATTTTAAATTAAGGTGAGTGTACGGTCGTAACAAATGAACACTTATTCGTTTATTTATTGCACAAATGAATAAATTACTAAGTAACACTTTGTTCTATTCTGTAACAAAATATTTTCATTTATTGCAGAGTTAATCATTTCTTGTTTAATTGAAGTTTTATTAAGCTCTTCCGGAAGGCCTTGCAAGGAACAAGGCTTCATGCAAGGCCAATATAATAAATCCGTCTTTTAAGTTAAAACTAAAGTTGTGACCAAAATATCTGCATACATTACTTAAACTACATATGGACATTCAATAAAATGAAGACTTGAAATAAAATATTCTCATACAAAATACTCAATGAACGATATGCGTAAATGTACGAATGTATTCGTGAAAACACTTTCAATAAAATAATTTGAATGGATTTTATATCGATATCAAATAAGCCGCCAATAACTTTTATAATTTTGATCAAAAAGCAATATAAACCGACCAAAGTGGTCTTTTTATATAAGGAAATGTACCAGATCTGCAATTAAAAACTAAAAAAGGATAGTTTATTTACTTGAAAGCTTTGCTGGGAGCTAGGAGTATAAATTTAACGTCAACGACCGATACGAGGGATGTCTTTTAAGTTTTGCATATAGAAACATGGTAGGCCGCGCGGATCGAACGTCAGTACTGAATCTTAACCTCGCTCTTTAGTAAACTTAAATTCAAAGTTTCAGAACAATACGTGCAGTGTTCTCGCTACAGTGAATTTTTAAGTGTCATCAAGTCATTATAAAAATGGAACTAAACCGAGAACAGAAGAATGCCTTGCTGAGTTACTGTCTGTTTTCGGCAACGAAGCGCCACATCAGTCGACAATTTCCCGTTGGTATGGAGAATTCAAACGTGGTCGGGTGAGTCTTAGCAACGATTCCAGGGTAGGTGCACCCAGGAAAACGTCGATGCTGTGCACAAACTCATCATTGAAGATAGACATGTGACATATCGCGAAATTGAGGCGTCCTTGAAGATCTCAAAGACCTCAATTCAAAAAAATTTACATGAAGAATTAGGAGTAAAAAAATTAGTTTCTCGTTGGTTACCCCACCTGTTGACTGAAGAGCAGAAAGCAGCCACGGTCATATTGCAACAATTCCTCTTATGAGCAAAGAACTGTTCCTGCGGATTGGTATACCACCATTTGTTTGCCAAAAGTCATCACCGAGTTTCGAAAAATCAACCCCCAAAGCAGAATCATCCTCCACCAAGACAATGCAAGCTAGCATACAGCCTAAAAAACAAGGCAGTATTTAACGGAAGAAAACGTGGAATTATTGAACCATCCTCCATATAGTCCTGATCTAAGTCCTAACAATTTCTTTATTTTTCCGAAAATTAAAAACAGACTGCGTGGTCGAAGGTTCCAGTCACCAGAAGAAGCAGTTGACGCATTCAAAAATGCCGTTTTGGATCTGCCAGCAGACGAGTGGAATAAGTGCTTCGAAAATTGGTTCGAGCGCATACAGATGTGTATTAATCTTCATGGAGAATACTTCGAAAAACAATAAAGCCATTTAAAACTACCTACCGTGTTGTTTTATTTCCATATGCAAAACTTAAAAGTCATCCTCGTATAAAAAAAGCTAGGGACTTTGTCATCGCATGGCCATAACTACGAATTTTTAATAATTTGCCTGGCAAGGCGCATAGCCTTTCAAGGTTCACCAGCTTACTTACGCTATACTGTACGAGTATATTTTTCCAGAATTACAGAAGGGTAGCCGAGGTCTGGATGGACGAATACGCCCAGTACCTTTACAAGCGTCGGCCCCACTACAAACAGATTGATCCTGGGGATTTGACCGAGCAAAAAGCGCTCAGAGAGAGGCTCAAGTGCAAACCGTTTAAGTGGTTCATGGAACATATCGCTTTCGACCTTCCTCTCAAGTATCCCCCGATAGAGCCCGGCGATTTCGGGACTGGCGAGGTTTGTACTTTTTTATGACGTCTTCAATCTGATTAATTCTTGGGGCATTGTTCCAGCCAAATTTTGAATAACATGTTTTTGCGTCTTCCGGAGTCCTGGTCACGGCTTAACGATGTATTTATTTTTAACTTTTCCAAGTAAGGAACATCCCAATGGGTTTATCAGGATTTTTAATAAAATCAACAATAGGGATTCGGCATGTGATTCAAATATCGGTTACTTATTTTTATCTAAAGTATACATTGCTACAGAATGATACCGTCAACCTTATTTTATACTTAATCCCTATAAAATATATTTAATATAATTAGTGTTAATCGATAAAAATAGAAAAAATACGGTAAATTTAAAATATGAAACGCAACACTATTGACGTCTCGTCACCATTTCGACAACCGTTTGTTGATTGGTCAGTCTGATTTAAAAAGGGAGGCCTTTGTCCTATCATTGATTGACAGTTTGGTGTTTCATCAGGTCGACAGAATACAGTTTTACAACAATGACTGAAAGTGGTTTATAGTCTTATAGAATTACGTTCTTTAAATGACATGTGGGAAAGAAAACATAATCTTGGTAATCATATTTGGTCAAAACGGTTGCATTGTGTTCTGTACTTCAAAATGATCTTCACAACAATATGAATTACTTTTGATACCTTAACACCACTTTTCTCTTATTGTAGCATCTCGGAGAATATGAAAAACCACCTATTCAGGGTTTTCCATATCGTATTTTCTCACATAGGTACAGTACAAGTTTCGATTTATCATTCATGCTTCTGTTTTTTTTTCTAATTAAAACTGGAGGATATGAAGAGAATCTTTTGAAAACTCGACAGCACATTAACCAAACAAATAATCAAATGACAAGTCGAGGGTTGTGACGTAACTCCGAGGCGCCCCAAAAATGAGATATTTCAGGTCCGGACCCCCAAGGCACCTCCCCTGAATCCTTCTGATTAGAATTCCAGTGTACTGATTTGACGAGTGGTAAAACTCTGTTGTAGTGCTATTAATCCTTTTTAACAGATTATTGGAAGGTTTTAAAACTTGTAATTTATATATATACAGGGTGTCCGCAAAGTTGGGGTTTTCCTTTACACGACGTGTAGATCTTGAAAACCGAAGCAATTTTTCTTAATACCATATACACCAATGTCTTAAGGGAACCGAGATAAAGGGCTCTGTAACATCAAAAATATCTGAATACCGTCCTGTAGCCGCGACATCCCCAAGTGGTACTAGGACACTAGCTCAACCCGACGACAGAACTGGGTCGGGGTCAGTGTGTCAGGTCAGTATGCAACCTTCAACCGACGGTTACGGTCACGCGTGTAGAGGTAAACGAACACGTATAAACGATTGCGTTTCAAAAAAACAACAAGCACTAGAGACGTGGCTAGAGAAGTGCAAGTATCAAAAACTAAAGTGTGGCAAACGCTGCGTGAAGAGGGGCTGTATCCGTTTCATGTCCAACGTGTACAAGCCCTTCAACCTGACGATTTTCCAGCAAGAGTGCGGTTTTGTGAGTGGTTATTGCATCAACATGACAATAATCCGGACTTTTTGAAGTGCATATTGGTGACAGACGAATCTACGTTCAGGAGTAATGGGGTGAATAACTTTCGCAACACTCATGTTTGGTCAGTAGAAAATCCGCACGCTGTCCGTCGGGCACATTTTCAACAAACATTTTCGGTGAATGTTTGGGCTGGCATGGTGAACGGTATGCTCATTGGACCATTTATTCTCCCAAATCGATTGGTCGGGATGCAATACTTAGACTTTTTACGCAACATTTTGCCTTCCTTGTTAGAAGATGTGCCATTAAGTGTAAGACAATCAATGTGGTTTCTGCACGATGGTCATATTTGTTACCTCTGTTCGTGGTCTGCCCCACCGCCGGCGTCTGCTCGGTAGCGCATCAGCTGATTTCAGTTTCTGTTGGAGCGGTATGATTTCGGGCAGAGACGTACTTAGCCCTTCTCGTCAACTGGAGAGTGAGTACTTTTTCCTTAATTTTTTTTTACTTGGTCGCCCTCGTTTCACTACACATTACCTTTGTTATTTCGAGGGTAGTTGTTTCTAAAAAGGAAAACCCCAACTTTGCGGACACCCTGTGTATATATATATAATTATATATATTTTGAGTTATGTATATAGATTATGAATGAAAATATCTGAAACACCATGCTTATCTTGCAGATCAGGAACTTGGGTGCTCCCGAGTTTTGCGTGGACGCGATGTTCAAAGGCAAAGACCAAGTGGTGGGCATAGCCGAATGCGTATCAGATACAAAGAAGGTGGGCGAGCAAAACTTTTCTCTTACGTGGCATAAGGACATCAGACCGAAAGGGAAGTCGATGTGCTTGGATGTGTCCGATCCTAACGATAAGGCTGACGTGGTGCTCTTCCCCTGCCATGGCATGAAGGGAAATCAGTATTGGAAGTACGACGTGGTGAGTTAGATATCATTTGATATACAGTGCAACCCGCTTATAATGGACTCGGCGGGACTGTTACAAATAGTCTATTATAGGCGGATAACCATCTAAAAGAAACACTTTTTTTTTAATGAAAAAAGCATCAGAAATAACATATTAAAAGCTTAAAATGTGTTTGTTTAACATATATTACATAAATAAAGATACATACAAAAAAGTTATCCGTTATTTTGAAATTTGTCTCGCATGAACCGCTCATTATGAAGACCTACAAATTTTCTTGTTTCGTATGTCACCGAGGAGATTTTCTTATTATAAACCAGGAGAAATATTTTTGGACGAACAGAGAAAAATAATGAAACCAGTTAATTATGGCCATATATAAGAAAAAAAATCAGTACAAATTGATAAAAATGAAAAAATCAGATTTTTCGATTCTTTTCTTAAAATCGTGATTTATTGCAATACTGCCCATATCAATTTCTTAATGGCAGTTGGATAGCTTCCATGAAACTAAAAAACTTGCTGTCCATACATGATGTTCTTAAATACTATATTTTTGAATGTTTGTCTTTGAAAGTGAAATTGAAAAACTTGTTTCAGGAGAAACAATGGTTCGTCCATGGAGGCAACATGAGATGCCTAGATTGCGACCCTGGGCAGAAAAGATTGTATGTGAGGGCGTGTGATATGGATTCGAAAACGCAAAAGTGGAGGTTGGAAAATGTGAATTTAACCATGATATCCAATTGGGATAATATTGGAGTCGCTTAAATTTGTATATGGGTGCAAACTTCATTTTATTTATACATGTTTTATAGTATTTTTTAAGGATTTGTAACGCATTATAAATGCTTTTTGTTACTTAAAAAGTAATATCAGCATATCAATGGCTGTCATGAGTCTGACATATCGATTTTATACTGTATGAGTATCCAAAAATATACAAGTGTTATTCAATTAAAAGGTTTTTTTAATTATGTCCCCTTTTCAGATTTGGTAGTTAGCCAAGCTATGCAGTATATGGAGGTGAAAAAATAATTCAATTCTTGATTAATGTATTAACCTGAAGATGAATATACCTAATACTGTATTATTTCCAAATATAATGGAGTTACGCCAGCAATGTAGCTCTGTAAACATATAGCTGATTTCAAATTTCGCTTCCAATTGAGTTTGAAAACCAATGAAGATAGTACTACTTTTAATACCAGGATCCTACAATTGTACCATTTCAGGAACTTTCGGTTTATTTGCAAAAATCATCCGAATTTTACAACTTTTTCGAGTCTTTCTTTGGCATAGTTTAACTGACTTGGTATTTTTTACCAGTTCGGGGAATAGGAAGGCGGCTCAATAATTACCCGTGTTAGAAATGAAGATACTATTTTTTCTAAAAAAAATATATATTTTACATTATTTTTTAACATCTCCAAAAAATAGGATTTGACGAACTCTCCAAAATACGTCTCTGTCTCGGCAATGACTTCCTCGTTTGAGCTAAATTGTTTTCCTGCGAGCCATTTATTCATGTCAGGGAACAAGAAAAAGTCGCAGGGGGCCAGATCGGGTGAATACGGAGGTGCGGCAGCACTTCATAGCGCAATTCATGCATTTTGGCGACGACAACTACGTGGTGAATCAGCACCTTCTTTTTCGCCAAATGTGACCGTGTCTCGTTCAATTTCTTGTCGAAACGGTACAAAAGCTCACTATAGTATCTGATCTAGTGACCATTCTTCCTTTTTCTAAAAAATCCATGTCTTCTACAACTAAATATGGACCCGAAGAACAAGGATTTGTGTCCTTTATTATAAACTATAGGATTAGTTGTCTTATCATAAGCCACTTTTCTGGCCTGTTTCCTTTTCATTAAATTTGCCCTTGTAATCAGTATTTTAGCTCAAGTTGATAGTTATCGAAATTATACATTGTCTCTACAGTGTGGATTAGATTGCTCAGAATTTGACATTTTCTACCAAAAACAAGTTCAAATGGGGCGTACTTAGTTTCTGTGTGAACACTAGTACTATATGTGAAACACCAGTAAGGAATCCAAGTGCTCCAAGCTGAAAAATTATTATCTGCTTGGGCTCTAAGATATGCGCCAAGCACTTTATGCGAATTTTCTAATGCGCCTATACTTTCGAGATGGTAAGCACTATGCAGTACACATTACATGTGTTTCACTTTTATCAAGGAAGCAACTTCTGTCATGGTAGAAGAAATGAATCCAGTACGCTGTCAGTAGCAATTTCTTGGGGTACCGTATCTTAAAATGAATTGTTCAACAAAGCAACTTGTTACTATTATTACATCTTTAGATTTTATTGAATATGCTTCGACAAACTTTCTTAGCTCACACTGGAGAGTCAATATATAAGAAAAGCTATAAAAATCTTTTGGTAGTTTACCAACTAGATCTAAGTATAACTTTTGAAGCACATAGCTTGCTGAAGAAGTGATCAACATCCTGGCAGGGTATATTGATAGGTACTGCAAGGTACCTCGGTCATTCCTCTGCCTAGCACAGCATTTCCATTGAATTATATAACTTGCAATACCTTACAAGTTTCTAATAACAATATATTATACAGTATATGATCTTACCATACTACAGCATTTTCGGCTTCTGCCTGCGCGGCTGCTTCTGTGTAAAAAACGATCATATATTCAGCTACAGCGCCATCTATGTGATACTAAACTTTCCAAATAAGATTTTTAATTATTGCAGAGAGCCCAAATTCTCATAGATGATTCCATAATATCTCATTTTATCTCGGATATTTTTTTGACGCACAAATATAGTATTAGGTTGGCACCAGCCCATTTAAACTTTACGCTAAGACAAACCTACTAGTGCTGCTCTAGAAGGTCTTGTATAGCGCGCATTGCATGGTGTAAATGAACTAGTGTAGCGCCATCTATGAGCATATTATAGTAATGCTTACGGACGGAATAGCACAGACCTGTTGTTAGCTATCCACGGTGACCATGGCCTTTATTGTCTGACGTTGACAGTTTGATATGATATGTGTGGTTTACGTTCACGTTCTGTGAGAATCCAAACTCCAAACCAAAAATCGAATTCTATTGTCTGATTCTATCGGGAGGAAACACAAAGGATTAGATTTTAATGTACACGAGCGGACAGACGAGGTTAAACTGCATAATAAGTATTTAAAAATTTTCCTTCTCTCCTTTCCTTCCCTTTTTTCCTTAAAATTGTTTGGTTTCTGGGTTACCAGACCTGACAGACTTACAAACTGACACTGTGACTCAAGAGCTAAGGTCCCACGGACCGCTCTGACAACCAACAATGACTTGAAAACTGAAAACTGTAATCTATTTTAGCTACTAAAAAGCATTGTTGTCTAGGGATTGCAATAGTCACTTAAGATAATGAAGCTGTTGCGTATACCAAAAAACAGTAACAAAAGTGATGCTTAATCTTATTTATTTGTTAATCATGATCTATTCATGTAAAATCATTAGTTATGGTATTTTCACGTCCACTAAAATAAAGAAAATAAGATACAGTTGCGCCATCTATGAGAAAATTAGTCACAGTTCGTTCTCTATTTACTATCTATGGACTTTGGTAGATGGCGCTGTAGTCACTGATAAGCTCGTATATGCATTGGCTACAAGGTTATCAAAAGTATATATAGTGAATAAATAAAAAATATTTTTATCTGGGAAAATTAGCATTATGTTGGCCATGTTTCAATCTTCATCATCTCAATGATAAAATTTATACCTAGACATATAGAAGATGAGTCTTTACCTTCATCTGTTAAGAGAGGACAATTTTCCCTTAACTTCCAGGTAGTAACAGTATAAGGGCACCAGTCATAAATAATAAAAGGTCTTCTATTGTCCCTCTACCTGCAGCGACCACTCTTCCCTATTGGTTGATGCCTTCACGCCTCTAGACAAATCCTTATCGCGTATTGGTCTATTAAGTGGAAATGGAGATATGAGATTGCTTATTGGTTTTGGGGGTGCACCAGAAAAAGAAAAATAATATGAGTGTCATAGCTGGGAATTTCTTTTGGTACCTATATTTGCATCCTCACTTTTCAAATTTGAATTATGTGATTGAGTTTATACTTTCAATAACCCTATTTATTTGTCTTTTGTTTACACCTGGCTTGCTTAAATGGAACAAAGATAATTGAGAACAGTTTCTCAATAAAAAGGCTGGATTTTTCTCTGGTAGGAGATACAACATGTTTTGTTTTCATACAAAGCAGCGTTTTTTCGAACAGAAAAAAATATAAAGTTTCAGGTTTGAGGTTTCTACAATTTCTTATACAAATTTCCACTACACAGATACTAAATATATATAGAAGCTAAATAGTTATTATTAAATGCACCACAAATTCAAACATTTCTATTTTTATGGTTCATGATGTTTATTTAGGCAAACCAAACCAAACCAAACCAAACCAAACCAAACCAAACCAAACCAAAATGTAGACCAATACGCGCTAAATGAGCTGCTCTATGGTTATGCAGACACTGTATACAAAGCCATCATGAGCTGCTTCTAAGAACAAAAAAGAAGGAATATGTATGTAGAGCTTCAATTTAAAAATTTTCCGATACCTACTTTGAGCTCAAAACCATATGCTTAACGCCAATTAAATATTATTTTGCATGCCCTATGAATGATATGAAAAAATGACACTGCTCTTCGTTGCTATTTCATGTTACTCCCTCCCACTCTTCTCATCGGACTATAAGAAGGGGGCTGTGGCCACTCCTATAATAGATACGCCACTGTTATCACTCGGTAGCGATTTAGCTTAGGCAACCCATGATACTCCATTTGAAAAAGTAAAATATTCATAAGGGCTTAAGTTGCTAGAAATCTGAAGGATAGCCTGATAATGTGAGTAATGTCATCTATAATAATTTTCAAAGTGCTACGAGACAATTTGCAGAATTGCAATATAGAAGAATCAGTTTTTTGTCTAAATAGGATATCTTGTAAGAAATAAGCAAACTGCGGCTATGCCTTTTTCGATGGTATATATGATTATAATAATTGCATGCTTCAAGAAAATAATGATTTGTATTGTAAGTGAAGGTTAAAATAAGACGGAGTTTCAAATAAAGCCGTTAAATCAAGTTGGCATTGCTTGATATTCGCGAATTTTGCTTCGGGCGCGGCACAATAGATGGCGCAACACGTAAATTGGCAAACACATTTGCGGTTGGTACATAGGACTTTGCTTTTTGAAAGCTTTTTTCTAATTTGTTGAATGTGCCGAGTGAAAAGCAAGTGAAAACTTCGGATTTTAATTTGAGTGTTTAGTTCGCGGTCCCTGCGATACCGGTGTTGTATATATACCCTGATAATCCAGCAGCTTTTTGGTAAGTCTTGTTTTATATTTTCTCTGACCTAATTTGCTATTTTAAGCCGAATTATTTAGCATTTTGATAATATTTTTGGATCAGCTTGCCGGGGTTTCATCGAGAAATAGCTGGTTGTTAGGGAACGTTCGTACCTTAGTGCAACATGCCTCCAATAACAGCTGATTTTTTTTAGGTTATTTCTGAACATTACACATGATTTTTACAGCTTTACGTGCTTCACACTTCTGTGATAACAAACCTGGGTGATCCTTGATCATAATACTTGAGACGGAAACTATAAATATAAATCTAACTTATAGTGGAGCTTTCCTAGACTTGTCATCAATGTGGCATGTATAAAAATTCCACCCAAAAGCTCACCTTTAATAAAAAAAATCCAAAACAATTATATAATAACAAATTTGTGTGGAGGCTAATAAAAGCTGGACGATTTAATATATACGTTTCAGTCAGATAAAACTGCATTCTGTAATCTTCAGAATCTTCAAGGATTATTTATTACATTCAACATGAATTTGGTTTTGACTCTACAACAAACTTTAAATCTGCCTGACAAATCGAATTGGCGACGCCCTCTTTTT